CTATGATGCAACATATTCCGCACGTAGTTTTATGGCGCCTCCTTCAGCGATGTTGTTCCAAACAAACACTGGTCGTTAATAGCTTTGTTTTTTACGTCATTACTCCTTAATTTACGAAGAGATCAAACAGGCCGTCACTTTATAACCGCCATCAAGTCCTTCATATATCGCCTGACCGTTTGCTGAAAATAGGGGAGGCAAACTCTACGCATCTGGTGGCGACGCCTTTCTGTACAATTTTCCTCAGTATACAAGTCTCAAAATAGCCTGGGTTAATCTCCAAGCAGATTCTGTGTGGCAAGGGGAGTCTATATTAGCTGCCTGTATCCACTGGTATCCTGTAATGATCTGTAATAGGGCGGCCAATGTTTTAATACAGGAGGCCAATGGATACAGGCGGCCTATATAGACTTTCCTTACCCGACAGAATCTGCTTGGGTGTCATCCTATTTGAATATCGGGGCTCCCATACTCGCTCCTTGAAAATACAGGGTGCCAGTATGGGAGCCCCGATATACAAATAGTGGCACCCAGCCTAGTTTCGAAATCATCTTTCTGCATGCTGGGACAGGTAACATTGAAATTACCTGCACCAGACAAATTTTACCTACACCACTCAAGAAATCATGGAAGCATGGATCATAATAAAATTGTTGGCAAATGGATACAGCCTGGTCAATTTCATACTGATTTGCAGCCACCAAAAGATCTGCTTGAAGATTATAAATAAACCTTCAAGGCCAATTATTCTTCCCTTTTTTGCCGAATTCTACAATCCGTACCCCCATAGGAAGGCCTGGTGGAGGCTAAGTTCTCCTATGATCTTCATGATCCCCGAAACGTCGTAATAATCTGGTTTTAAGGACGGTGTTGTAGCGATTAATTTTACCATGACATGATGAAAAGAACGACATTTTTTCTTCAATGACATTCTCTTTTATGTCGTGAAAGATCCAGGTTATACCAACCACTTATGCCCATGTAATATGCAAACACGTTTAGTGCAAGAACAAACGGAGCCTTTGCGTTGTTATATGAAGAATATATATCGTAAAAGAATATCACGAAAGTGACTTACCTTAATTCATTATGAGCCTTGTACTCCAAATTTAAAGTTCCTACTTGACAGTAGCTGTCCTGCCACGTTTTTGAATGACAGAATTTTTTTCACAGCACCCAGAGGATCGTTCTGGATCTAAAATAATGGAGTTGTCCTCTTGGCATTGTATCACTGACCTCGACCTCAAAATGCCCTTCCAGTCCTGTACATTGTTTTCGTATTCTAGATCGTCTTTGCCTTGGAAACGTTGCCAGTGTAAAATATTTCCACGAACAGATGTTCCTACAATGACCTCACTAACGCTAGGTAACAGCGGTGCTGGTTGTACACATACGTACAGATTTGTCGTATCGTAGAACACAAACCCTTAGCTCAGCGAACACCGCTCCGGACGTCCTATCAAGAGAGCGTCCACAGTTTTTCCTTGTCGGTTTCTGGTTTGGTGATGGCCTTGCTAAGTCCAGATCACGGTCAAGTCCGTTCTCATGTGTTGACAGAGCTTCTCAAGTAGTCGTGTTGGATGGAGAGGAATCCTAAAGTAGGTCAACACAGTATTAAAGGCAAGCAAGCCACACGCGTATTCACAGGCTAGCGGTCCTCCAAAACGACTGCCCCGCTGTCTTCTGTATCCATGACTGACGTTCGGGCCCTATCTGGTTGAGATGTAGAGATGGGATGACTGATAGGTGTGTAATCATGGTCGCCAGGTGACACAGGAAGGCGGCGGGCGGCCTGGAGAGAGCGGGAGGTCCCGAGCACTGCCTGCTCACTCCGGTATGAACGTAACCGCCTAGGACGCGACTGGAGGCCTCAAGAGGGCGCGCATGGGGGTTCTCGTGTTTGGAAAAATGCATATAAAAGAGCGAAGGACCGCTACGAGTCAGAAGTAAAAAGGGGGCAAGATAGGAATATGAAGTGCACATAGCTTTAATAGTTTGTTTCAATTAAAGTTATTTGTCGTGATTTTTAATTCGACAACACGCTTTAAAAACCTTCAAAGAGAAGGGAAATTTTTGGTATCCGTTTTTATAGAAATATCTCTTTAATTCTCATCGATTTTTAAGCACCATTATCATGTTTTTACATGTTTCTTCCGTTCCCTTTAAATTTCTTCTGTGATCCCGTTCTGCCTTTCTAAGACACCACAAAACCCCAATGTGAGCCTCAAGCGACTGCTCAAGATGGATGCACATGTATTTCGTGGTTTGGACGAGAGAAAAACATTTCTGGGGCCTCCCTCCGGAATCTAGGAACAAAGTGCTCCCGCTTTCCTGCATAGTCGGCCCTGTCTCACGGCAATTTGATTTGTTTTCCCTCCATTGACACCGTAAATAAATTAGCGTCGTCTGTGGTTGCCGGGGCAACGCGCCCTGGAGCGAGGGAGGGCGCAGTCAACATCACTGGAACTGTTGCTGTTTTTCTCCACTCTGTAGGGCCGATTTGATGCCGTCTTGCAGGTATATGATCACTGTAACTGTTACTGTACAACCTTTTGTACACTTGAAGAAGCCACACAGGTGAAACCGGTCGTGTGACAGTCTGAATAAAAGTTCTAAACGGGAACCATGCATGCCGCTCCAGATGTCTTACTGAGGGACGACTGCGTGTGCGAGATGTCTGTAGTTTAAGGGCCCTTGAGGAACGAATCCCCTCTACTATACTATACACTGGAACTGTTACTGTTACTCTCCAAGTAGAGGTTGAAGGCTTCGGCTTCTATGCGTTTTAGGCGTTTTTATCTGGCTTGACTGTTTTTTTTTAATGCCAGCCAAAGGCATGCTGCCCTGCCAACCACTAGCCCTAATCTATTACTGTCTTGCCGATTTGATACTGTCTGGTCTTCCAGCCACCAAAAGATCTGCTTGGAGAACTTAATATGATGTTATAAACATACAACACAACATTTGCCGAGGCAACATGGATCCTACTATAGTACTGTATAGTAGTATACTATTACGTGTAAGCTGCAGTTGGGAAGGAAGCCGCCAGGGGGCAGTTGAGCCGAATTCACCAACTAACGTAAAACGATCCTGTAATTAAAGCCGGTAGAAAAGATGTTAATTTCACAGTCGTCTGACGGAATGTCCCCAGCAACGGTCTCATGACGTCACCTGATGACGTCGCCTACCAGCTGTTACACTCAGGACTGTTCCAAAAATCTCAAGCCAAGGGGATAAAGAAAAACACTTCTGGTACGTTGGAAAGGTTATCTACTGCAAAGAAGTATCTGCACGTGAGTTCATTTCTGAAATTTGTATCCCCCTGTTTATATGTAAGTTCATTACTATCCACTCGTTTGTTTGCAGGTATGAGTTGTAGTAGAAGACCTTACAAAACTTTGCCGGTCACTGTACTTTTGTTGTGTCAATAAACTATAACTATGTTGTAACTATTGTTGTTGGCATTGATTTTGATACGCTTTTTCCTGGTATTTTGCTTGATTTCAGTTTGTAGTTTTACAAAACAATGGTACAGCCGATAGTGTCACTACTCTCCAAGCAGAGGTTTGTGGGGAAGGTCGTTACCTTTCTATAGATCCCCCGTTTTGTCTTTCGCTACCCCCACCAGAATGAAGAAAACGGGGCAAATATAGAAAGGTGACGATCATCCTCACCAACCTCTGCTTGGAGAGTAAATGTCACCCGGTCTTTGCGTTAGTCACCACTTGACACCTGTTAACCCATTGGAAACATTAAACAGGATCAACCTAAAACTCCCGCCAGACGCCCCCAGAAAATTCACGGGGATTTACGTGACTCTTGTGCAGGCCTCCGGGCGGGTGGGAGTTTTGACACTGCGTTTTGTAGAGTTTTTAACGCGTTCTTTTAATTGCCGGCCATCCTACAACCAGTCGACCAGAGAAGGTTTGTACCCGCCACGGAGAACTCTACAAAACGCAGTATCAAAACTCCCACCCTGTACAGGAGGCTAGGGATTTACTCTCCAAGCAGAGGTGAGAGGGAGAGAACGTAGGATATTCCGACATGGCTAGCTAAGGGAGGCACATTTCCCTCGCCTCCCTTAGCTAGCCATGTCGGAATATCCTACGTTCTCTCCCTCTCACCTCTGCTTGGAGGGAATAGGGATTGACGTTCTACAATCTAAGACCCTGTGAGAGCGCGAAACGCCAACACAATACGCGTGTGAACCTCGCGGAAGTTCAGATTGAAAAGTCCAATTTTCCCCCTTTGTCAGAAGGCTTCCGCGGAACTTTAAGTCGGTTAGAGAGAGAATGTTCCAGATTGTAAAATCGCGATTGTTGCGGGTTTACAGGCGGCTTTGGCCTCTAAATTCCGTGTGACAGTTTAGTGAAACTAATCCCCGTATAAAGACTCAGATTGTGCTGAAGTTGACGGATTTTCCACCTATAAAATCAGCAAAGCGTCGCCGCAATCCTTCATCCCCTTCTCGTTAACCCTGCGACGTGTAACTACAAAAACGTCGTTATGTCACTTTGCGAGGTGTAACATAAGCTAGCTATATTGTAGCTTGTATATTGTAGAAGTACGGTGGCCTCTATGAGGCTTCAGGAGCCGCGCGAAAGAGCAGAAATTGGACATTAGACAGATAACATGCCAGGGGAGTTGGAGTCATTCAATCCCGTCTTGTTAATCTTACGACGTAATGAGTGTAAGAAACCGGTAGCCTCTATCAGGCTACAGATGCGGCTGGAAAGAGTAGAAATTGGCTCAATAGAAAGATAACATGCCAGGGGATTGGGTCTGCTAAAGGAGTACAGCTCGGAAGCTACAAAACTGTGCTCTTTCTAATAGTGGAATAACTCCAATGGCATGCTACTTGAGTATCAGTCCATTCAGCCAATTTCTACTCTTCCCAGCCACCTATGAAGCCTGGTAGAGGCTAAGTAACACAATTGCGAGAAAACATATTTCTGTAGATACTAGTAGTTTTCCACTTTAATTCGACTTCTTCCCTAAAGATTTGGCCTCTAATGATCCCACAACAAAGTCTAGGGACTACGGGTTGTTCAGAATGTTCAATGTGTTTTGTTGTAGGACATTTTTCATCATTTCCCGCCCTCGTGAACATGTAGTAAAAGCGCCACCCGTCGGCACAGGGTATTACTACAGGTTAGGTCTCCCCGATGCTGTTGAGCATGCCCAGTACCATGTCCATGTCGTGCGCATGCGGGTTGACGATGTGTGCCCGGCGGCTGGACATGCGCAGCTGGTGCGCGAGCTCGTAGAAGCCCTTGTCTCCCGACAGCACGGTGAAGGGGATGTCTTTGGACAGCCTTTCGTCTAGTTTACCGGCCTGGGTGAGTGGGCGAGAGAGTAAAATGTCATATCTGGGTCGTGCAATACTACTAATACTAGTAACCATGAAATTTATATTCCTTGTAGTCTTTAACAAACCAGCTCTAACTACTCATACAGCCAACTACATTTATAAGATTACCAGAAAGCGAGAGGAAGTTGAACGTACTTGTGTACTATAGCCGTTTTATTATCAACATTGATGATGTACTTTGTCAATATGTGACCTGTCTTTAGCCCAGTGGGGCAAAATGTACAATAAAGGTCTTCATTCATTCATTCATTAAACGTTCAATACGGATTTCCCAGTCCGTGCGATAACTAGAGTTGGATCCCTTATGTCATACCTGGGACGCGATAACGTCCGATATGCGGATGTTCCGGCCTGTGTACTAACGGTACAGCGCGGGCATCCATTTGGTTATCCAAACGGGCTTCCAAATAATGTTCCATAGAATAATTTGAACGCGTTCGTACCGTGGCCGACAAGAACAAAATTTTACACCGCAACTTTTGGTGTTTTACACCGCAACTTTTGGTGTTTTACACTGCAACTTTTGGTGTTTTACACTGCAACTTTTGCTGTGTTTTACACTGCAACGTTTGCTGTGTTTTACACTGCAACTTTTGCTGTGTGGAAAACTTACACCCCTCCCCTTTTATGATGGACGGTCCCCCTGTCAGGTCAAAGGTGACAACGATGGCATGCAAACTACGTCGACTGAGTTATCCTTTTCGTGCATAAGTTTTTTAGAGGAAAAGCTTGGCTACGTTGTGACGTTAGTTTTTTTCTAAAGGCCTTTGAGTCACGTGACATTTTCTAGCTAGAGAATTCGGACTCGCAAGGTCGCTAATAATTTGATGAGTAAATATTGGGCCTATGGGAGTCAAATGTGGCACCACTTGGTACTATGAAGCAATAAAGACTTATTTTCAATTATGAAGTGTTGACTCTTGACTCAGGTAAGTTATCGATCATTAGGGAACAATACGAGCGATCGCCATGACGTCACCGTAGACAAAAAGTGGGTGCCAGTTCGCTGATTTGCCTACCAAGAATTTGCATATGTCTTCAAATAATTTGCATGCGTATAATGTAAACAAAAACAGCGATCGCTCGTATACAAATGTAGAATAATATTGTATACAATATTTATAGTTAATAAGACATCTAATCAATGTTAATTAGTCAATCACTAATTTATAAACTGTCATCATGGAGGCAATACAGTGTTGTGTAAGTATAGTAAAGTTAGAACACAAAGAAGAACAGACAGAATTATAAATCATCAATTTATTCACAGCTTGATCAATTTCTTAAGATCCCATTCTGTTGATGTCTCACACTCAGTCACAGCACGACACTGTGACTCTCAGGCCGCCGCCATCTTTGTCACCTTTGACCTGACAGGGGGACCGTTCATTATAAAAGGGGAGGGGTGTAAGTTTTCCACACAGCAAAAGTTGCAGTATAAAACACAGCAAAAGTTGCAGTGTAAAACACCAAAAGTTGCAGTGTAAAACACCAAAAGTTGCAGTGTAAAACACAGCAAAAGTTGCAGTGTAAAACACAGCAAAAGTTGCAGTGTAAAACACAGAAAAAGTTGCAGTGTAAAACACCCAAAGTTGCAGTGTAAAACACCAAAAGTTGCGGTGTAAAACACCAAAAGTTGCGGTGTAAAATTTTGTACTTGTCGGCCACGGTACGTTCGCTTGCGCCGCTTTATCATCGAACATTCGAATGCCGGATCGCGGATTCGAACGTTGGGGGAGGCGGCTGGAAAGAGGAGAAAATTGCGAAATAGAGAGAGCTCCAGGCATGTTATCTCTCTCTCTATTTGACCAATTTCTGGCCATTTCTGCTCTTTCCAGCCACCTACGGCGAAGCCTGGTAGAGGCTATTTATGGTGTTACAATTGTTTGCTTCGATGCAACGCAACTGAGACCACCAGAAGGTAACTCACGTGCACACAGATGGCGAAGTCAGCCGCGTCCTTCCACCTGCCGCAGGACGGATGCTTGTAGAAACAGCCGTTCCGTTTGAGAGCCGTCAGCGCGCTGCAGTTCTTAGGCTCCCGCCAGGTGGTACTACCACCCGCGAATCCGTACACGAACGAACCGCTGCCAGAAGAGGGTAGATGATTGGCTCAAATTTGACGACTCAAGTGGGATTAATTCTGTTCCAAATATTACAATTAAGTTAGATACTAACAGTATAGTAGTATCTTGGCCCTGATAATCTGTATCTGTATAGCCGGTATAACAGACCATCGCCGCAGGTACGCGGCGCGGCGGCAGCTGGCTACTTAGTATACAGTATAACACCGAACGACCTGTTACACCATGGAGGTATGGTTACACCTAACTTTTGCACATCTAACTGTAAACGTTCATTAAAGCTATTGGTATTAGAGTGACATATATTATACAATTTGAACATAGTTTTCAAGTCCCTGGAGTCACCTTGGTAGCTCGTGTGGCAGTTTCTGGAAAAAGTGGCTCCAGTTGTCCAAATCCACGAAGATGACGTGCGTGACGTCATCCGGAGGGAGGGGCGGGGCCGTCACGTGACTTGATCCAGCCAATGGCGAGAGATCCGTGTATGACGGGAAACTTCTGCTGCTATTGGGTCCCTCATTTTTAGGGAAATCTGTAGGCCACAGCGTCAACAAGAAAGACATTTCAGAATTAAATTTCGGGAAGTAAGCGTTTTGGGGTTTTGTGAATGTACAGCAACTCTTTTGTATGATCATGGCTGTCACAACCCTGTGAATCAACCGAAGCCCAATCCCCGGCCACCCACTACCAGTCTTTGCTACTCTGGATGAAAAACATACAAACGCTCTAGCCCGTCTTGTTGTTGAGCCAATACTACCGTACTATACATACACTGCTAGCCTAGTATATTGTACTATGTTGTACACTACCTTTCCGCTGGCTGTCGGAATCTGCCTGGTCTGTGTCCAGTCTCGCCCGTTTAGGTTCTGTAGAGTTGTTACTCTCTGACGACTTCCGTTTCCGTTTGCCTTTCTTGGTGCCGCCTTTTCTCTTGCTCTTGGAAGGCTGTTTTCTGCTCGTGGTGGGTCTAGAAGAACAACTCAGTTGTTATTGCTCTTATTCAAGTTATTGTATTGTATTCTCCTTTCAATTATATTATAATGTGCTATTCATTTAAAAAGACTCCGGACTCCACCCGTCAAGTTCGTTGTGGAGCATGTCCTTCATTTATCTAGAATATAAGTGATTTTCTTGTCCTAATTATTGACTGTGTATTCCGGATGAGCGGTCGCCAACTTGGATCCCTGCATCCATCCCTTGGAACCAAAATGGCGGCGGCTATATTATATCTTAAGTTGTACCGTCTCGTATAAACACCCAAACGTTATAGCTTTCTATCTTCTTTCTTCGCACAAACTAAAACATGGATGTCCTCACGCAGTAGGTGTCTCCTCCGTGTCTGACGGTTGTTCAGCCTCCTCCTGGTTTTGGCGCCTTTTCCTCCCCCTGAGGCGTCCGGTGACCACCAGGCTCGAGTCGGATGCTGACCGGACGGTTGCCGTGGCAACGGCTACGTCACCAGACTCTGCGTCACCCTCCTGCATCTCTCTGGAATCATGGGAACTTTAAGTATCATCAGGCAACGAGATGAGATGTACAAAACAGCATTATTTGAGATTTTTCCGAGATATGTAGGGAAGATTTGTTACAGCTGGGAAGGAAGTATTGGTTTGGGCGGTTTAAGGGGGTTTGTATGTATGTTTGCCTGCAGCAGTAAAGATCGGAAGTGGGTGGGCGGAGATTGAGTTTCTGTTGATTGGCAGGTTGTACCTCCGCCGGTAATGTATACTGTGTAATCATAGTATGAAACATAAACCATGGTGCAATAGCGAAGCATGCGCACGTTACGTCATTGAATTAACGCAAACCATATCTACTTCGCGAAAGTTTGGCGTATCCAATTTCTTGTTTATTTGTTTGTTTATTTGTTTGTCTTTCTATTCCTACCTGACCCTGCGCCGGTGCCGTTTGCCCATCCAGTGTTGGTAAGCCGAAGTGAAACTGTTGGGCACATAGACTCCACACACCCGGCAGTACTGTAGGTTGGGGTCAGGTAGGGTCACAGGGTCACGTGATGTCCCCTCGTCCTGGCCAGGGGGTGTCTCGACAGGGTCTATCTCCATGGGAACGGCCTCGTCTTGTTGTGAAGGGATGGAAGTCTGTTTTTTGTCGTCAAAAGGGGTCAAAAACAAAAAATCAGGGATTTCAGCCACCCAAAAACAATACTTCCGGGCAACCGAACATTCAACTGTGTGTGCTGTCAAATTTTACAACTAATTTTACAACTAACGAATAAATCCAGCTATACGTGCCCATGCATAATGCAAAGGGGATTACATTTAGGCTTTGAACATCACTGATTTTACGCTTTCTCTGTATATATTCCTAACTCACGGACAACACGACTGTACATGGAAGAGGATGTCTCTAGAATGACTGCTTACCGATGACCGGTCGGTAGTTTCCCTGGAAAAAAACCCAGCCATGGCCGCACTCTTCTTAGAACCAACTCCTCCCATTACTTGGTCTGAGACGTCATTTGCCCTTGTGTATTGCCATTGCCCTTGAACGTCTTACTTAAGAAGCTTCACGAAGTTTCTTTCAGTCGGTGTTGAGGAGAAGTATTAGTATGTGGTCGCCATGGAGATATGTAGTTTGTAGCGCGCTGAATCATGGGTCGGAACTGTTGGTTGTTGTTCTAGAACCAGCCCCTCAGTACCTGACTCCACTGTTGTATCTATGAAGGTGAAGAAAACTGCCATTCCATTTCCTAGCACATTTTCTTCATCATTTTATACATGAAGCGTTTGAAATATCCCCCATACCAAGCTACGTGATGACTCCCTTTATTTTTTTTTTTTTGGTTCTGTACCACCAGTAACTAGCTATAACCATCCTACGATGCGAAACGAGCAACCGTTTTCCGTCAGCGACATCGCTTTTTTTTGCTTCCTGGTCAAATGATCAGATGATCAGAAAATTGATGTCGAACATATTAAATCAAGTTTTACTGCCCTGAGATCGCTTTATGTGCCTTTAAAAAGCGGCGTCTCCTGTCACCGTATGGAGAATGACTAATGACAACAGATGACATCCTTTTATGACCGCCTTATCAGTACTAGTGGACAAGCAAAAGACAAAACAAAACGTCCCCCACTGTTTTATGTAAGCAAGAAGGTAGTCAACTCCATCTTCTTCGTCATTGGCCTTGTCGACTAGAGGAAGCGGTCGATCGCGAATACAAGAGTCTCCGTTGTATTGCAAGACGTCAACATCAGCAGAACAGACTGTGGACAGAATGTTGGCAAAGGTACGGCGTGTCTCCTTCATGTTACAGAAATACATTGCACGGATTAGATAATCAGTGTTTAGAAGTGATGATTTGTTGTGAAAATTGATTTTGGGCTCGAGCGTTACTCGTGATGTTTCCTAGTCGAAAGTGGTGCGACCGCGAGGCCGTTCGCCTTAAATTGACCTTTGTGGGGTTGTATAGGCGCCGTGGCAGATTTTCTTTCTTTGTAATGGACTCGAGTATACCCAAAGTTTGTACCTTTCTGTGAAAGTCAGTCATTTTTACCGTAAAATACTTCGATTGGTTTTATCCTACGAGAAACTTTCCAATTTCGTGCATTATTTTTGACATGAACATAATTTTTTCTGTGAATTTTGCCAAAATTAGAGAGGTTGAAGAAACAAAACTCAGTTGGTCTTCTCAAGGAGGTTAAATACAAGTATTTAACCTCCTTGGTCTTCTAGCTGAAGGGATATTGTTCCATTCCATATACAGGTATTTTGATTCATGTCTATTTCTTGGAAACGGTCGCTGAGCGTAAGAATGTACAGCCTAGAATTGAAACCCAAAATAGAAGCGTGCTCCCTTAACTTAAATGTGTATTTGAAATGCAATCCCTCTCCTTCCACTGATAGTCAAAGTTATTTTACGTTTACCACTAGCATATTTAAAAAAAACGAAATAACATAAAGTATAACTTTATCACTAACACTTGTCGCTGACTTTCCCACGGTTTTTAGTCGACCTTTATTTATATATTTATTTGAGTAATGAATCTATAATGACTCCAACAATTAACATTCTTCTGCCTTACCTGATGTTTGGCTATCGTTAATCCCTTTTCAGGCTTGTCATTAACTTCAAACCGGCCGCCCGTATTTGTCGGCTACAGGCCATTCGGCTGGTGCGATTTTGACGACCTTCGCCGAGCCCAATCTCAAAGCAGATCCTAGGGTGGCAAAAGACAGTATCGAATTGGACAAGCAGTATCCACTGGCCAGAGTGGGCCGTCTCTGGCCAATGGATAAATTAGCCAAATAGGCAGATGACATGCCGGGGGAGTTGGTCCGCACTAAGAGAAGAGTTAACGTTTGCCGCTTCCCGGAGCCTGGAAGAGGCTAGTTGTCATTTGGGCAATGAACGATGCGGTCGATGTTACATCTAAGCGTATCATACATTTTTGAGAGGTATGATCATCGGTGTGAGGACGAGATACATACACACCTATACCCGCGCCGCCCAAAACAGTACTTCCGTAAGTAAAAATGATATCTGTCTTGCTCTACAGGCCGGGTCGCCTGGGCCTCACCCCACGGCCGTTCCCGCGGTTGACGTCAGCTCCGTCATCACGTTCCTGATGCTGGGGCTGATCCTGGCGTCGCTCATGTGGCTCTGCTGCTGCGGGTGGAAGATCGAGGGGCCCATGACTGACACCTGGCGTACCAAGCCGGTACTGCAGGCTCGGGGATTCGGGACACAAACTACGAGTATGCGGAAGAGTACGAGCCTATCCACGATCAGCAGTAAGACTTCACAAAGAGAACAACTGCGTGTATCGTTTGTCTAAGTGTCAAGATTTTTTGGCGAGAACGATTTCGGTTTGTAGCGCGAAGCTGGGCTCCTCACAGAGAACTTTACTGACACAACAAAAGTACAGAGACTTTCGTAAAGTATATAAACAGACACGTGGGTACAAAAGAATTAACCTCACATAAAGATAATATCAGAAAATACACGTATTTAGGTATTGTAATACTGCATAAAAACAATTGATTGTCTAGTCTTTTCTATTGATCGCATGGGATTTGTAAGGAAAGACTTCGAATTCCTCTACTACTTCGTTGATTGCTGAGAAAAGCGTGCAAGGAATGTCCCGTAATACATGTTGTATGTGCATGGTGGCCTTTTTGTCCTGAGATTTTCTAGAACTTTGTCATTAACTAATGTGAGTCTATCTGATAACAATAAATCAGAGAAATTATACGTCTGTCAATATTTTTGAAAGAGTTTTTGTGAATTTTTGTGAACACACACACACACACACACACACACACACACACACACACACACACACACACAACACACACACGAGCGCGCACCTCTTAAGATCGTGCTATGCACAATACATTACAGGTTTCACGCCGGGTGCAGTACGTTTTACCCACGTGCTGGTTCAGGTTATCAGACAGCATCAATCACGCTGGTGCCAGGCTGGAGCCACCAGGAGGACAACTGTCCATAAAAATCTCCCACAAGGACACTAATGATGATAGGTTTCCTTATAGGACCAGTCGGCCTTCTCTCCTTTAAAAGGGTCCTTTGCCCTGCAAGTCGAGAGTTCGAATCCCGGTCGTTAAGTACAATACTGGTGCATTATTCCCTGAGACTGTTTATACCGGCTATGCGACACAAACAAACAACTAAACAAACAAAAAGAAAACATCAGCCTATCTATCACAGCTACTTTCCAAGCAGAGGTTGCGGCTTATAATTGAGGTGTTTTAGGAATTCCTATCGGGTTTTCTTTCATTCTTTCTTGTATTGTTTTATCTTTTTTTCGCCAGCCGTCGGGTGGCAAATGGATTGATACTACTCTGCCAGTTTGATACTGTTAAACTGTTTGTTTGCTGTTTCCCCAATTTGTTACTGTTTTGCGGCCACCAAAAAGTTACTCGGAGATTACATAACAGCCACATAATACTTGGCAGGTGGCGTACGTGTGTGCGCTACTGGGGTACAATATCGGCTTAATGCGATGTGGCACCACTTTCCAAAAACGGTTGTCAGTGACAAATTGACCAGTGTCTGGTACAATAATGATAAGTGGCATGATTTGTACATTAGGCGAATTTGGGCACTTGTGGGAGGGAGAAGAATCCCTTCATTTGGAATAGACGACTCAGAATCTAGCGCTTCGTCCTCTCATTATGTCACGTAGGCCACTTCACGAGACGACCTCTGTGTAGCGGAGATCCTTGGCATCTAACAGGCTTCAGAAGCGACTGGAAAGCTAGAGCAGAAATAGAGAGATAACATGCCAGAAGAGTTGGTCGACTAGAGGAGTACAGTTTGTCGCTTCATAGCATCCCCTGTTGGTAACAAAGGCAGACGCAGAAGCTACCAGGCTTCGGACGCGGCAGGAAAGAGTAGAACTTGGCAGATAACACACCAGGGGAATTGGTCCGCTAAAGGTGTACAGTACAGCTGGCCGCTTTAGAGCATCCCCTGTTCGCTGTTGGCACCCCAGCTTCAGGCAGACCGACGTTCGACGTTTCTTTTTCCTTTCATCCGATCGCCAGAGCCATGGGAAAGCGGGGAAAGCGCAGTGCGGCCAGGAGACCCGTCTTTCGCCGGCGGTTTTTCGACCCTGACGAAATTGAGACGGACGAGATCTCGCTGACAAAAGTAAGGCGTGCTCTTTTGGTTTTGTCTCGTATCTAACAACATATAATTGATAAACGTTACAAATATATATAAAATCGGGTTACGTGTCACTAGGAAATAACGCTATTGTCAAAGCGCCTGTCTATGTGTGACGCTTTTTTTTTATCTAATTAAGTGTAGCATCAATTTTTGATGCTACACTTATGCGTATTTTAAGCCAACAAAACTGTTGTGCAATGTTATGGAAGATGCATATTTCCCAGGAAGAGATGGCCATAGCGAGGACGATCTACGAAACCAACAGCGGGGCGGCTCCGGCCACCAGACGTAATGTAGTCGACGAGGTGAGATATGTTTGATATCTCCTGAAATTTCAACCAAATTTCTACAAAAAGATTACATGTATAGAGAGATAAGCTGTTATTCGGCTGTTATTTTGTTATCTATAAGCTATTATAGCTATTATTTGGATTATAACAGATACAGAGAGATAACCTGGTTGGCTAGCCATTTTGTATAGTGGAGAAACTTCACATGCTAAATCTGTCGTACTGAGTTCGACCGCCAGGGTCCTGGCTCGGCCATGTACATGTCACATCTACCTGTGTTTAGGAAGTATGTGAATTGTCCGCTCTCTTATTTTCCACAGACGAACACCAGCCTCCTGTCCCAACAGGGCACCCACACGTACGTCCCCTTCCACTACGTCACCCTTCTCCTGTCTGTCTTCTTCCTCATCCTCCTGGTCTTCTGCCGCGAGCGTCCAACACGGCCCAAACCAGCGGTGAACAAGAGCAACCCGGCATCGTCCCGGAGACCCCCGGCTTTCAAAAGATCTATTACAGTGATGGGCACTCCCATGGATAGAGATCTGCACTTTATGGAAAGGAGGGGCTCCAATCCTAAGACCCGGAAGCTATCTTTGAGAAGGAAGTCCGCGTTGTAACCGCAAATACGTGGCAAACATCTGAAGGGCTTATTGACGTTCGTTGTATTTATATTGATTGTTTAATGTACTTTACTATTAGTTCTATATATTAATTGTTCTATTGTATTGTTTTGAATTTCTTTAATATTACTATTACGCAATGTATCAATATTCTACCAAAGTACGTTTGCAACTTTGTTATTATTTATTATTTGGTTTTTATTATTTTGTTACTTCAGTGTGTTTTGTTTATGTATGCCTGCGCAAGGCAAATTGAAAACCGCCCCTGATGAGTGAATAAATAAAAATGACTCCACCACCACTTTCTCATGTTGCATTTTCGATATTGCCCACACTTGTATGTAAACTTTGAAATAGATGGCACCCGGTTTCTGTAATTTCAAAGTATTGTCAGTGGCACCTTTGCTTTGTGAGCATTACACGCCAATGCATATGACTAATCAACGGAAAGTCCCGAGCTATTGTGTACCGAGGAGCCATCTTGGATTTCCACGAGAGTTCGTGACCAAAAGGTCAGATTACCCTCATAGCCCTTTCTTGTGAGATATTCACAAAGTTAAGACTTGCCGTCCACTCTGCGAAGACGAGTCAACTGCAGCTACCACGCGAGTGAGTTCGAGCAAAGGAGGTTCAAACCTTCCTGGTTCGAGGAGCCACAACGAACTAACCCTGGTAAAGCCCCCCCCCGACAAACAGGTGAGTTGAGGGCTGGACGAGAACGACGTACGATCCTTCATGAACCTCTAAAATTGTTCTGTTCGTATGTTGCAAACTTGCTAACGTACATATAGCTATAGCGATTACAGTACTTCGGTTTACCATACACGTTACAGGGAATAACCTGCTTGCTGTTACAAAAGGTTATATAGCATGCAGGTAGATAGATGTGCTTCCTTTGTACATGTAGTTTCACTTCCGCATTTCGATACATGTGATAGCCCTCCATACAAGACGCCTTGGTATCGGACAGTGTTGTCCATTTTTCACTGAACATACTTGGTGTTCGAGCTTTCCGAAGTGTTCAGATAATTCTCATGAAAAAGAGTAGGAGATATAGCCAAATATAGCTATTGACATGTACTTCCTTAATTTGTGTGTGGTTTTAAAACTGACTCGGTGATACTAAATACAATGTATGTAACTTTGGTCCCTAGTTGTTGTATGGTACGCGTTTATAGCTGCGTACTATGAGTGTACTATGCCCGAATGAGTTGCATATATTGAGCCAATCCACCATGATTTCAGCAATGTCAAAACTTGATCATAAAGGTCATGAACTCATGATTCGTGCGATCCGGTTGCCAAGTTGGGCGTTCTGTTGTAGAAACAGTCCAATCTGACATCTGTGGACGAAACCATTGCCGAAGGAGGGGAGGTACAGGGTTGAGGCACGAATTGTACTACAGCTTGAGTTTATATATACATAGCCTGGATGCCTGGAGGAGGGGTCTTTGAGAAAATGTCCTTGGATTCATGTTGGCCCTGAAGACCAGAGGCTAGCCTCAGATCCAACACGGTTTGGCACTCAGGCTAGGGTCTACACGAATTTGCTTACTCTCACAAAAGAACAAAGGGAAGAAGGGGTTTAATACTCAAACGTTTTTCAGGGGGATTCCCATTCAGTCAATAATTACTCACACACGTCTGTCCAGGGAAATTCCGGAGGGGTTTACCAGGTTTCTCAGAGTCAGTCTTCTGATAACCAATGCAGCTAACATACTCACGTACTTTTTGTAACCCACTGCTAAAATGGGATCATAGTGAAAGTGACTTTTTTTTCAGACGTGAACATTTTGATGATATCAACAAAAGGATGATTATACCGAAGACTGAGGTAGGCCGTGCATTTAAGAAAATTTATGGCATTGAAATCATATGGCAACGTGTTACATTATATCATATTGTACTATTCCGTGTTAATATCATAAAACTATACTGATTTGACATGCTCTTCATGAGCTCACAAGCTCATTCACTTGATAAAAACACAATACTGTGAAACAGTCATCGCCATTTTTTAATATTTGCCTGGAAGCAGAAGGAACAGAAGTACTTTTCCATAACACACCGAAAGAGAGATTCCCAAATTTACTTTCATACGATTAGCTGTTGATATTGGTACACCTAGCCTCTACCAACCGTCAGAGGTGGCTGGAAAGAGTAGAAATTGGGTAAATAGACAGATAACATTGGAGTTGCCCCGTTATAGGAGTACAGCTTGGCGCTCTGCCTCTGTACTTTAGGCTAGAAGACCAACTCCCCCGGCATGTTATCTGTCTATTTGGCCAACTTCCACTCTTTCTAGCCGCTTCTGAAGCCTGGTAGAGGCTAAGTATACAATGATGACGACATACTGTATGAGTCTTCCCCTATGCCCCAGGTTTCGTCGGCTCTTGTAACGGCCGCGATGTTCCTGTTTGGCGTGACGTCAGCCAGAGATGTAGACCTCGGCTTGTGTTCGGTAGAGAGGGAAAGTTGTCCGTGTGGCACAACCGGGATAAACTTCATCATCACTTACAAGGCGTGAGTTATCTACTAGTATATGGCCAATCTCTTACCCTTTTAGCCTCTTTTGAAGCCTGGAAGAGGCTATACTACTACGTATCGATGTTCACGATTATTGGTAAGTTACCGTTGGGAAAATGATGGTCAAGTTCGAAAACGGGCATTATGGTGGGTCAAACGTCACTGCATTGGACCTTTTGTATTCGTTCACGGTTTTGTGACTCTAGTTATACATATTATAGATCATGAAAGTTCATCTGTCTTACATGTTTAAAGTTGAAACTTTTTATCCGACACAAAAAAAAAAGTTCTCTCACCCAGAGCTTTCGACCAGCTACTTACATCAGGGCCCATCACCCTTCACTTAACCGCGACAGGGGCCGACATTGTCTACCAGATATGGTGACGTCACACTTCAAAGAAGTCACGTGACAAGCCTCACTGGGTCAGTCTACTGAGGAAGACCAGAGTGACTGGTCGAAAGCTCTAGGTAACTTGAGCTTTCTCAAGGTGAGAGAACTTTTTTGTGTTGGGTCAAAAGTTTTAACTTTAAACACATATTATAGATGCTCTGCGTTCTACAAATGGGAGCACTACTGCCGCCCGTGTGACGGCGTCAAGCACGACCAGGTGTGTGAGAAGTACCGGCACTGCGCAGAGTGCCGTGACGTCACGTACGGTCAGAACGACGGTTGCGCCAGGTGTCCACCTGGAACATACGGCACGTTCTGCACCTCATGTGAGTTGTTCTAAACGCTATCACGTTGGGTGGCTAGGCGTCGGAAACATTATAGTATCTATACTTTGGGTACTTTATCATGTCCGTTAGCTGACATTACAACATTGATTTAGTAAGCGCCTGATCTTCCTGGACATCAAAACATACAGACATGAGATCATTAGTATTACAGCTAATATTTACATTCTATGTCTACTTGATGTTGACTTATTTCCTGATTGGTTTATATACATACGAAGCTCCTGCCGAAACTTACACTTACTAGCCGATTGATCGCCACAAGGCAGGCCATTCCATATTGAGATGGACCATGACAAGCAAATGTCAGGACGGAAAGACTTTAATCGATTTGCTACTTACTTTTCTGTTTTCTCCGATGTTGACTAGACTGTCAGTGCCAGAACGGCGGTGTGTGTAACCAGGACGGCAGCTGTCAGTGTCCGGCGGGGTTCCGGGGAACGTACTGCGAACAGGCGATCGGTCAGTTTTATCTTAAGTTTAAAGTTCAAGTTAAAATTTGAAATTCACAAACAATTGATGTTTGAATAGCAAAGTTCTTTAGAAACAACCACGTTTCGATGACCCATGTTGACACTTGTGAATAAAGTGAATAGAGAACTTTTATTTCCACCAATCCTCGCCTAATCTCGACAGTAAGTTGGTGTTATTCTTTACTTTATTCATAACGTATGAAAATTGTACCTATCTATTGATATCCTAGTGGACGGCAGCTGGTCTGGCTGGAGCCCGTGGTCTGCCTGTAGCGTGACGTGTGGGTCCGGAACACAGACCCGAAAACGGACCTGCACCGACCCGGCACCGGCTAACGGCGGGGCAACGTGTGAGGGACCCGCGCGGGACACCCAGGACTGTCATACCGGGACGGGTTGCCCAGGTAACGCAGAGTTTTCTCTCGGTAGCCATAGCAACTGCTTAATTCCCATCATTGCTTTCTATCGCCATCGAGATTTTATACATAGTGCAGTACCATAAATTATGCTGAACCTGAAGTCAAAGAACATAAGCTAATAGTAAACTTACCACATATCTTATTAAAATACCACATTTGAAGTTACAGAGTGTTGTGCGATCTGTATCTGTATCTGTATAGCCGGTATAACCGCCTTTCGGCGTAACACACCAGCTTCGCAGGCACGCGGCGCGGCGGCAGCTGGCTATATTACACCGATCGACTTGTTACACCTAACCCTTGAACTTCTAGCTCTAGACATTGTTTAAAGCTATCTATTGACAATGCCCCTACTGTACTTGGTGACAGTGAGTTCCACTCTGCGATAGTTCTAGGAAAGAATGAATTCTTGAACACCTCAATCCTTGGTTGATAACTCTGGTACTTGAATGCGTGGCTATTTCTTGTTCTCTTCTGGGCTGGTATTAGGTACTTAGTAGTTGGGACATCCACCAGTTTATTAGTCATTTTGTACATCATGCATAGTCTAGACATCTTTCTTCTGTCTTCCAGTGAAGTCCACTGTAGGTTTCTTTTCATTTCCGTGACACTAGCACCTCTTACATAGTTGTTCATACAGAATCTTGCAGCTTGATTCTGTACCCTTTCCAATTTGTCTTTGTCTTTCTTTGTATATGGATCCCATACTGTCGCAGCGTATTCTAGGTTCGGTCTTACAAGTGACGTGTATGCAAGTGATTTTACTCTAGTTGGACATGCCCACAGATTACGTTTAATCACTCCCAATGTCTGTTTCGCCTTAGTTGTGATATTATTAACATGTGTACCCCACTTCAGTCCGCTTGTCAGCGTGACGCCCAGATACGGATGGATTTTTGTGGTTGCTAAAGCCTGACCACAAAACTGGTAGCTAGTTGCATGTGGTGTTCGTTTGTTTGTTATGTGCATAATGTTGCATTTTTCGGGATTAAACTGCATGAGCCATTTGCTTTGCCATTCTTCCAGGGTGTTCAGGTCTTTTTGGAGAAGTTGTGAGTCGGTCTGTGTAGAAAGCTCTATATACAATAGACAGTCATCGGCAAATAACCTCGCGATGATAGAATAGAAATGATAGAAATTAAGAGCACAAAATCACAATGCAGAGTTAACTTAGTCCTTCACGGAATAACAGTTAAAAGTTGTACATCCATATATTTTGTTTTCTCTCACCAGTTGACGGTTCGTGGTCGGATTGGAGCCTGTGGTCCGCCTGTAACGTCACGTGTGGTATCGGCATCCGCTCCCGGGTACGTGTGTGTGACAAGCCGGCACCAGCGAACGGAGGGCAGGATTGTACAGGGGAAGACAAGGAGAATCAGACATGCGACACTGGACAACCCTGTAAAGGTACACGTTTGCTAAACAGTCTACGAATCATAACAGCATACCCACGAAATATTCAATAGCCTACTTTGTTGGTTTTTGCAAGATTTTTTATTTTGCTCGGTTTTTCAAAGAAGAGAAATTAAGCTGCAGAATATTTAGATTTGCTGTCATGATAAGAATCTTGAGATATGTTTTGAAAGCTGTGGCTGAATTTATATATCAAGAGTCTACAAAGTGGCCTGTTTTCTACTATCTAAACGATTTTTCCACAATCCATGACTGCATACCGCTATGTTTACTTTCAGAAATATTTGGGAAGTTAGGCGAGGCCCTGTCAGGAGATATTGTCCCAACGATATTGATCGGTTTGCTTGTCTTTGTCGTCCTTTTTGTGCCCTGGTGTCTGAACAGGACCATAAAGGCCATAGCGGCAGGTAAAAATGCTTTTTCCATTCTGCAGCTTATTCAGCTTCTATCCATTAAGTCACTATCAAATTCAAACTTTTACGTATACGTTTGTTGAAAGAAATTCAAACTCTACTACTGGATGAATTACGGAGATTACTTACAGCATCACTAAAATGAACTGACAGGACTAGTCAACATTAATCACATGTAAAAACTAATAAAAATAGCAACGGTTAAACATGACTAAGACTCTAAAGTGTCACTGTAATGTCTAACCTTCATCATCGTTGATACGATTATTGGTTTCATCTTTTTCTCCATACCTTACAGTCTTGCCGTTTTCATCGCCAAAGAAGCTGTTCATCGTCCACGGAGGGGAAGACAAGTACTCTCTAGTGGAGCCGCTTGTGCAGGAAATAGTAGACCAAGGCTTCCCCAAGGCACACGTGTTCTATGATAAGTGGTCTATAGGGTACGCACAGGGTATCAAAGAAGCTATCTCCTCAGCAATCCAGGATAGCTCCTGTAAGCTAGCTGTGATTGTGATCAGCGAAGACATGGTGAAGAAATACTGGCCTAGGAGAGAGTTTGAGGAATTCTTGAGGCAAGACAAGGCGTTCTTCCCCATCTTCTACGGCGTGTCCCCCGCGGAGGTTCGCCAGCGTTACTCGCCAACATTGGCTGATAAACGGGGAGTGGAGGTGCCCAGAACAGGGGAGAGGGTGGATGACATGTGGATAGCAGCCACTGCGGGTATGATACGTAAGACTCTGGAGGGCACACTCTAGGGACCTAACTTAGTAATGTCAACAGAGGGTCCATTGCAATAACGTGCCAATCCGACCAAGACCCATTATCAAACTTCACTTCCTTTTCCTTAACCCTACCCATCTACTAAATTTCATCACCATCCAGTACAGAAAGATTCATAGCGCAATTTTATGTGGCAAAATATTACCTAGTAAGTATTTTACAGCCCAAAACATTTAAGAGGTTTGTTTGTTAACTCCAGTAGAAGCTAAGAGATTTCTTATGACCTGTGCTTCCAAAGAAACTGCAGCAAACACGTGTGCCAGGCGACTTACTAAGTATATGATTCTTCTGTGTCTGCAGACAACGTTTGTGTCATCAAAGTAGTACTGCGCACTATAGATTGCGAAGACGCAAACTCAAATTCAATGTTGTGAATAAGGAGTAAGAAATCGGTATATAGGTCCCAATGAAATATTCTGTGAAAAAAAAGCACATGGACTTCCATATGTACTACATCTACTAGTACGATGATGATATATGAATCTATTACGTTGTATTACCTGGTGAAACGAGTTAGTTGCTTGTATTTCTTCATAATTACTCAATGTTTACATTGAGCACAATACATATCATTGTCAGTGGTTTCATAATCAATATCAGCCATTGAGTGTAATATTAATTTTATAAATCATAGCCACTATAACACATAGCAAGGATAGCAAGGATGACTATAGCCTGAATAAAATGTGGACAAATGTTTTGTGATTATTTTGGTTTTATGATTTTTAGACATTGATCTTTTAATAAGTTATTCGTAAATGTAAGGCATTAATTTCATGCGGCCGGCTAGCGTTTTATACATCTTCAGTAAATTCTATCAACATCTGGTATTAAACGTTCTAGTTTTCATTAAATACCATTCTGTCATATGGTGGTCTTTTCATTGGTCAATCATTGGTTTAGTAGGATTTTTTTCAAATTTGTATGAGCACTGGATCGCCCAAACACAAGTTTATGCCGTGTACAGACACAACACATAGCTGATCATAGAGCTGAGAGTTGGTACTTTCCACGTGACGTCACCACCATATTAATACGACCTCCAGGTCATTTTGTATCATTTACCTGTAGTGAGTTCTCATTTTTAAATACACATTGTTAAATGGTTTCATGATTGCCAACTGCGTATGTATGTCTCCATAGCACCGGCTCACATCCGAATAGTTTCCATTATGCATCTATAAAGGTGAGAGGTACTAGAAGTACTACATAAAAGTTACATGCTGTACAAAGCTGTACAAAGCACACACGGGTCACGTGACAGGTGTGATGCTGACGTCATGACTCACGGTCAGCTGACGACAAGAAGTTCTAAAGATGGCGGACGGAGAGTAGAAAAGGGGCAGGGTAAGTTCAGGTAAATGATCGTTTTTCGTCGTTTATAGGTGTTGTCATGTCCCGTATAAGCACACAGGCTGGAGTTGAGGTGTTCAGCTTATGATATATGTGATATATGGCGTATTGAAGGCGTTGAAAGTTGTTAAAATGAGCGCGGAAGAGTGCCCGGCCTAGTTCTTGCTGACCCTGTTTCACGTTTTCGGTTTCTGGCCTACATAAAAAAATCATCGGTACGTGAATTTTACGTTGTGCCGCAGCAAATACCAGTTAATGCATCAAGACGAGAGTACAACACTGAAGACAAACTGGGTATAAAGCTGACAAAACCGTTAACAGAACGACGTTGTTAATTTAATGCAGACTGCTATTCAAAGTATGGCTTGAAATATATTGGCTGACACCCCGCTAGGCAATAGTAATGACTTTAAACTATAAAGATGCAAATGTTGAAAAATCAATGTCTATTTTGCTGACTCAGGCAATACAAAACGGTTCATATATCTTAAGACAGTCTCTGTGTTTTAACCTTAATCAAGGACATGTCCTTGCCTTAATCAAGGAGATCGTATGAATGATTAAGACCCCGTCCCAATTTGGGATGCTCATTATTACCTTCTTGTAATAAACAACATGGAATCCCTGTAGAAATGGTGACCTAGTTAAGTTTCTTAAGGTAGATTACATGGCATTGCTCTTCAATTGCACCGTATTAAATCCATAAATAGTGCATTGCAATTTGTGGTAACTGATTGGAACACAACACAAAGGTAGTTGTGCAGGTAAATTTTAATTTTTATTATACTACTTATGGATGATCTATTGTTGCTGCAGAAATTCCTTACCTGAAAGGGGACATGCATGAGTGAGCTTACACAATAGTATAGAACTAATATAATAGAAGTCATTGACTGATGCACATTAAGGCACATGGAACTTGTACATGTATGTGGCATGTTCGAATGTGGTTGGTTGATTGTTGATGGCAATAACATCCATTCTTGTTTTTGTAATTTTTTTCAGGGAACTGCAAACCATCAGGTGCATCATTAATTGATGCAAATATCAGCTCGAAAGTTGAAGAAAAAAAAAAAACACCCCTGATAAGAAGACAATTCAGCAGAAAACTTGATATTTTATTCAAACTTTGAAATAAAATAAATATCCTTTGGCCTCAACAAAAGAGCAGAATATTTATTTATATATTTATTCCTTTATCTCTACTATAACTGAAAAACGAGGAGAAGTTGAATTTATGTAATGATAGTTAGTTTTATTTTGTATGTATCTTTTCATCATATGTTTTGTTTTGACCTGTACTTAGCCCAGTGTGGCAAAAATGTGCAATAAAGGTTGTCATTCATTCATTATTGTTTTTTCTATTTTTTTCAGGGAACTGCAAACCATCAAAGTTACATCATTCATTTCTGCAAAAACCAGCTTTAAAGTGAAAGTAAGAAACACTGAAAAACAATTCATCAGAAAACTTGACATTTTAAAACGTTGTGAAATAGATTTTCTTAGACCTTAACAAGAGCAGATTGGTCAGAAGGAGGTGTGCGTTACTCCGTAAGTTTGGTTGCCATGGCAACTCTGGAGCACACGATCGCGTCGCACGCGAGCGACGTGAACTGGGTGGCGTTCTCGAGCACGGTTCTGGCGTCGTGCTCGGGGGACAAGACGGTGCGACTGTGGGAGGTGGGCACGTGGGCGGAGCTGCCCTGCTCGCCGCTCCTGGGACACAGCTACCCCGTACACTGCTGCTGCTTCAGGTACTGTAACAGTTTGGCCGTTTTTTTTTTACCTATTTGTATGGAGATTTTGTTTTCGATATGTCCGTTTTTATGTTTTATGGGCACCATGCCTATGATCTGCACAGAGTGGAACAGTTTGTATGTTTGTTTGTGTTTCTGTAATAGGCAATGCTGTTTTAGCTAACAATTTTCTTTTTACCTCCGTGTGTAGCAGCTAGTGTGCTTGCATGTTTTTCTGTACAGTAGTTATTTCCACATGCTACAATGTAGGTATGTGTATTGGGGACAGTTATAAGAATTTAGCATAATTTAGGGCTTTAGAAAGGATTACGTTATTGTCCACCATTTAAAGATTAAGAGGATTTCCCTTTTTCTTCTGCACAGTCCTTAAAGAAGGAATTCAACTTAGCATAGGCTGAAAAATGACATGTTTTCCCTCCCACAGCTCTTTCGGTACCCAGCTGGCCACCTGTAGCACGGACGGTACCATTAATCTGTGGGGGTCGAAGTCTGGTCAGCGCCTGACGACCCTGGCCCACCCCAGGAATAATGGTATGCGCACGGTCTCCTTTTCCCCGGACTCCAACGTGCTGGTCGCTGGCAGTGTGGATGGAACGCTGGTGCTGTGGGACGCGTACACGAAGGAGATGCTCAGGTTGGTCTCATACTGGTGTATATAAGGCCTCACACCATAGTTTACAGGTGTTTAAGGCCTCACACCATAGTTTACAGGTGTTTAAGGCCTCACACCATAGTTTACAGGTGTTTAAGGCCTCACACCATAGTTAACAGGTGTTTAAGGCCTCACACCATAGTTTACAGGTGTTTAAGGCCTCACACTGTAGTTTGTAAGAAAAGGGCTGACCTGTGACCTGCTGGCGGAAAAAATACATGCTGCACATTAGCCCAGTGTTTAAGTGTGGAGTTTAATGTTTTATCCTAATGTTTAAGTTGTGAAAATATCACTCCAGTTTCAACTGCACACAAACCCTAACCCAAGTGTACTATTTTTTATTAAGCAAGAATGAATGTGTTCCATGTAGGTCTTAAGCCCAGCTAGTTGTTAGTGACTGACGTTGTGTTGTGTACAGCCCAGCTATAGTTAGTTGATAGTGACTGACGTTGTGTTGTGTACAGCCCACAGGGTTTAGGACCCCCTGGCCCTCCAGTGTGAGTACATGTAGTACTAACTTCTTCAGTGTACTCCCTTCTCATTAACAACATTATTAATCCCTATATGATCATTAATCCAACTCTACAGAGTAGCAAATCTGGGAGAGCTTGAGCACTTCTAGCCAGTGTTACATAGTACAATCTCTTGCTGTCAGGGGTTGATTGGACCTCCTCTTTGAGCACTTGTGGCCATATGTAACTTGAGAACCATTCAAATACTCTGAAGTACATATACTAGTAGGAGCTCAAACTCTGCCAATTTTGTTATGGCGTATATATCTCTCCCTCCTCCCCTCCCACCCCCTTTACAACATGAATGTATCACCCCTTACACAATGGTACCTCCCCTGCCTCAATGCTTGCCACATAATAAACTCAGCTGACATATGTTGAATCATGATCATAGCCATCTACAGTCCCTTTCCTTAGCTCCCAAGTCCCTCCTGTACCTAATACTAGAATAGAATGACTACCTGACTCCTGTTTGCTTATAGGATATCTCAAATTCCTAGTCAGAGTACATGACCTGTACACCCTGAAATTCTGTATCCCTTTCTGTTGATATCTGGTAGATTTCTTAAGAAAAGGTAAACCCAACTGCATCAATTCTGTGTCCCTTTCTGTTTAATATCTGAAAGATTTCTTGAGAAAATATTGGTAGTACTTACTAGTGTCTTCATCCTTTAATCAACTAGACATAAAATAATTAGACATTGCCTCAAACATTTTTCCAAACAGCACAAATGTGCATGATGTGCTGAGAAGGAAAAGAATGCTGTATGTAACAACTGGTAACTTTTACCACAAGAAAAGTTTTGTAGTGTGACCAATGCAGACGTTGTCAGTGCCTGTTGAATTCTCATTCTTGTTCCCCCAGTGTTATAGAGGCCCACGACACCTCCATCTGTGCCTGTGCGTTCACGCCGGATGGGAACTTCCTCCTGTCTGGGTCCATGGAGGGCAACATGAAGCTGTGGGACGGTCGCTATGGCAACAACAAGTGCCTGTACTACCTGGCAGAAGGTCATGACCTTGGGGTGACCTGCTGTGTCTTTTCTCCGACCTTTGGGTCAGCTAACCCAGGTGGGCTGGTCATGTGTTAGTTGTTAGATTACTTGTAAAGTTTTGCTTGTAGATCTTGCTTGTAGCTATTTCATTGACAATTCACTTGTTTATATACAGTGTGTATCTTGTCCCAAGCAGGGAGAATATTGGAAGTGAGTGGGTGGTGATTGGGTTTGAGTTGATTGACAGGGTTGTGACCTGGTATGCCCTTGGTGGACTTGTAAGATGTAGAATGAGGTCGCCAGGAATGTGTAATCATGTGCATTAAATTAGGCCAGTCATGGCCATTGAACATGGTATGAAACATAAACCATTATGAGAGAAAGTTATGTCATACATTCCTAGAAGCAACTAGAAAGGCCAATATTTGCTTTGGAGCAAATACAGCGATGGGTTCACCACATTTTACCACATGGCAGGGAAAGAATGAGAAACACAAGGGAAAACAATGATTTACATTGATATAACTATAATATGAAGTAACATACAACTAAAACAACAGTTGGATAGCTATTCCCTACTTTATTGGTTAGGATTTTTAATTGCATAATGCAAACTGTTGATTTTCAAAATAAAAAAAAAAACGTTCATGCCCCGCATTCCAATGCTGGAGCAGAAAAGCTTGAAATACCTACCAAAACACTTGAATAAAGACATGCTGTCAGTATGGAAATACTCTGTGCAGGTGTTAATCAAGTTAAATCCCAACAGCCAATCAGCAAGAAATGCTCTGAGCAGGTGGAAATGCTCAGTGTGCAGGTGTTAATCAAGTTAAATTCCAACAGCCAATCAGCAAGAAGTATAGAGGAAAGCTGCATGCCTATTGGTTGATGCCCTGCATTCCATTGTAATGACTCATGCCCAGACGTGGTAAACATGGCACACTAACACAGTAATACATTAGCTATAATACAGCCAAAAAACTCAAATAAAACCATTCTAAAAGCCTGTATCACAATAATTTAAAAAACGCCTAGGGGTATTTGCCCACTGTACCTCCATACCAAATTTCAGGACCTTAGGCCCTAAAATGAAGAAGCTGAATCCATTTAAAAAATGGCAGGAGAAGGAGAAGGAGGAGAAGGAGGAGAAGAAACATCAGAAAAAGCAATATGGTTTCACCACACCACTTCGTGGTGTGGTGAACCCATAATAATCCTTTCTATGATCATGTATAACCCCATGATGATACAGTACAGTTCCAATACCCTCACGGATGCCCAAAACACTTCCTGGAAGTCTCCAATATCCGCCATTATTTCATGTTTCTTACTTGTTTGAACCCTTTATTTCTTGCAGATAACCCCCTCCCAGACACCAGACTGCAGTACTTCATGCTGGCCTCCTGTGGCGCAGACATGCTGGTCAAGTTATGGGACGTGCAAGTCAGCCCAGGTATGTAGTTAGTTCAGTTAAAGTCCTCCCCATAACCATTGGCATTGTCATATATGGCGGTGCCAATCTCCTTTTCTATAGCCCTTGGGCCACACAGTTGTGCAATCACTACAGCAAGGGGCTAGTCCACTGGTAGTGGTGTGTGTTTAACTACCATACTCTTTCTCAAATACTAAGTGCTAAGCAGAAAAAGCAGTATGTACCATATTTATTTAAAGTCTTTGGTATGACTTGGCTGGGATCAAACACATGACCTACCGTTGATGCAAGGCAAGTACTCTACCCACTTTGCTATTGCAATTAGGTCAGGTAGGTAAGGAGGTTGAGAGATTGTAGAACGTAACATTCATGGATAATTAACGGATTTGCATCACCTGATTTTGCCTTATATTTGCCTTATCCAGGTTACGACATGAGGTTAAGGGTCAACCTCCAAGGTCATTCAGCGACAGTGAATTCCTGTGCCTTCACCCCTGATGGCAAGAGGCTGGCTTCAGGGTAACTTCATGTATTATTCTTTAACAAGTCAGTCTTGTGGTTGTTACCTCTGGGACAGAAGTATTATATTGATGTGGGTGGCACTGAGTATGCTAGGTTTGTATGTGTTGATTCCTAAGTAATTTGATTTGTCTGTCTGTCTGTCCGGTTTAGTAAGGTAAAACTACTGTTCAGAAGTTTGAAGTGTTTCCAGGTCAGGGACTTTTACCTTTGACCTCACACTTGTGCACTGCGACCACTTAATCTTGAATCTTTCTATTCTCCCTCTAGGTCAGTGGACCGAGCGGCTATAGTTTGGAACCCGGTAAGTTTCACAGCTTCCTGTCGATAGTTGTTACATCATTGATATTTGGCTGACCATGACCATACAGAGATACACGTTATGCAACAATAGATATTGTTTATATTGCCGACTTTCAGTCCAAAGAAAAATAACTCACTGTATGAATGGACTCAGATGAGCCTAGTGACAGTGTTTTTAAGGAAGATCTCAGTGCATTTCTAGATGTATATGTTTGCTACACATATATTGTACATGTATCTGCTGTTAAGTAGGTGATATAAGAGGCAATCTCTCTCTCTCTCTCCTCCACTGCATGTCAGCTGCTGCTGAGGCGGGCCATCATAAGAGGCAATAATCTAATGTTGTATCTCTGAACATTTCTTAAATATTACTTTTTGTGTTATTCAGTTAACTGGAGAGAAGCTGTACATGTTGACTGGTCACCCCAGGTAAGTCTTACATAAGATCTTCTTTTTTTTATGGGATGGAAGTATTGCTTTGGGCAGCACTGATTAATGCTATGTTTGTGTGTTTGGGTTCCAAAGTGAGTGGATGTAGGTTGGGTTTTGATTGACAAGGTTTGACCCAGTATGCCCTGCGACCATCCAGGATGTGGTTGCCAGTAATGTACAAAATGATGTAATGCCAAGTTGACAAGTTCATGTCAATTACAGTTTTGACGCCGGCAGCCAACATCGGACAATAGGCAGAAATTTTGAGCTCTCTCTTTGTGTCTTTTAAGTCCATGATGTCACCAAGACTGTAGGAAACATAAACCAATTGTTCTGATTTCTTGTTCCCGCTGTTATGTGTTTTAGATGTGTGACCACAGTGGCCTTCTCCCTGGATGCCATGTACCTGGCTACAGGCTGTATGGACAGGACTGTGAGGATATGGAGGCTGGCAGACGGGCCGGCTGTCATCCCTGTACAAGGTACTGTACATTCTTTGTTTTATGGTCAGAAAAGGAGGTTTTTGTGAGGATTTTAGTTCACTGTTGAAACAATTCTGTAGTAGTGAAATGTATCTTGTTGTGTCACAAATTCTTGGAGAAGAGGTAACTTTAAAAATCGCAAAAATATAGCTACAAGAGTTTGAAGATTCATAGTAATCATGGCTGTCAGTCTTCAACTGTGGTGCCCTGATGTCATCAACTGATACTTGGATAACTAACTTTATAGACCATCTACGTTTTGTAATTGGTTTAAAGAAAGACAAGAGTATTTGATGAAATGTGTGTAGTATGACAGACAGAGACGGTCACTAGACTTGAATGTATCAAAGGGAAATATGAAATAGAACTGTGGTGTGCTCTCGAGACAATTTTACAAACCTCATATACTGACAGAAAGATGCGCTCTACCATCCATATAGAAAGTATTCATATGGTTCAGACATTTCATATGGCTGACATGTTTTTTCAGATGCAGCCAGCAAGACTGAAAGCCCAACAGAAATGTTAGTGGATGTTGACAACGCTGCTGCACCAATCACGGCACAGAAGACAACAGAACCACCCCAACCAAAGAGAAAACCGCTCTCTGATTGGTCTGTAGAGCAGGTCTGCGATTGGTTGAGAGAAAAGGGTTTGGAACAGCACGTACAGACATTCAGAGAAAATGAGATTGACGGAAGTGAACTGAAACAGCTGACCAATGAGACTCTGTCAAAGGATCTTGGAATAGGTAGGTTTTGTGCTTGATTCTGGACGTGCGTTTACATGAAAACATACAAAGTGAAATACTTTTGTAATGAAAACAACAGAAGGATTACCAATTGCAAATTACCCATGTACATGTAATATTAGTCATTGTGTAATAGATATTTGTAGGCTTTCTTGGTTGGAAATTAGAATGATATTGATTGGTAATATATATTGCAAATGTAAACAACTTGATCAGAATTCAGCCCTGTATGTCAAGGCTGCGAGATATGTTGTTGATATGTTGATACAAATAAACCAATAAATAATAAAATAATAATAATAATGTATCAACCATTCCTATATATACTGTAAGTAGCGTTTTGTTTGCCCAGCACCAGTCAACAAAACTGAAAAATAAGTCAGTTTTCCTAAATCTAACCCACTTTCCCCCCCTCACAGCTGCACTAGGACAGAGGAATAAGATCCTGAGAGGAATAAAGGCCCTGGAAGAGTCGGAGAGCTCCACGTCATCAGGACAGGCGAACCTGGCGGCGCTCGCCTCAGCTCTGCCTCCTCAACTCATGCAGAACCTTCCAGCCCTCGTCAGTACGTTTGCCCCCTCCCTGATGGCCAACATGGCACAGTCCGAAGGGCCCACGGTTACCACAACACAAGGTTAGTCCACTAGTAGTGGAGGGGTGTTTTTTTGGTGAGTGTGAAGTTTCCCCTTCCCAGTGTGAGTGGTTCAAACTTCGAAGTCTGGTTTCCAGGTTGATATCTTGGAAAGGTGATAGTCACCTGTTTTATCTACCTTTCCACAAATGTAGTAAATTTTAATGAAAATACTAATAAGATAAAAGAAAAAAAAAACTGACAGACTGTCATATGGAGTATATTAAGTATAAGCTGTATAAGACAGGACTGTAAGGTTTGATCCAATCACACCAAGATGGACCCTACTGTTCTCAAAAAGTGCATTGGACGTTCCAGTTTAAAGCATAGTCTTATTGCCTTCCCCAGGGGCACAACTAAGGATTCGAACCCAAGACCATTAGTTTCAAAGCAACAACCCTAACTACAAGACCACTTGTGTTTTATCTACCTTACAGCAGCAGCAGCCGATGACAAGGTCCCAGACGAGTACCTGTGCCCGATCTCGCGCGAGATCATGGTGGACCCCGTCATCGCGTCTGACGGCTACACGTACGAGCGCAAGTCGATCGAGTCGTGGCTCCACAAGGGGAAGATGACCAGCCCCATGACCAACGCTCTCCTCCCCAACATGAACCTCACGCCAAACAGGATGTTAAAGATGCTGATTCAGAGGCACTTTGGTGGTGGGCAGTGAGAGGATGGACAATGATCTACTAGTAAGCCAGTACGTCGGCAGAACGTACTGCACCTGCGCGAGACCTGTAATGTATTGTGCATAGCACTTTGGCAGAACGTCTCCTATAAGGTTGTATTCGCACTTACAAGGTTAACATCCTGTCTGTAGTTTTCAAATGTTATGTCGGAAAAGATATTGTCTGTAACAGACAAAATTCTGATGCAACGTTCACCAAAAATCCAGCGAAATCCGTGAAAAATGGGGGGGTTGCGCAGGTGCAGTACGTTCTGCCGATGTGCTGATCTAACCTATAATGAAAGTTCATCTGTGTTGATAGTTACATGTTTAAAGTTAAAACTTTAGATCCAACACAATAAAAGTTCTCTCACCTAGAGCTTTCGACCAGTCACTCTGGTCTTCCTCAGTAGAGGCCACGTGACATGCCTCACTGGGTCAGTCTACTGAGGAAGACCAGAGTGACTGGTCGAAAGCTCTAGGTGAGAGAAGTTTTATTGAGTTGGATCTAAAGTTTTAACTTAAAACAATGATCTAACCTGGTGACCAAACCTATCGTAGAATGGAACTTGCTGCCGCCAAGCACAGTTGGGGCATCATCACTAGAAAGCTTTAAACAACTCCTGCAGTTAGATGTGCGAAGATTGGGTGTAACTGGTTGTTTGGTGTAATATAGCCAGCTGCCTCCATGCGGCATGCCTGCGAAGCTGGTGTGTTACGGCGAAGGGTAGTTATACGGCAAACAGATACAAACAGATAAAGATATTTTTGCTGCCAACTTTCTTTCGTCCTCTCTGCAAATGGCAAATTTCGTCCTCTTGATCTCTGCAAATAGCAAATTTGTAGGGAGAATGAAAGAGCTGCAGCTAAAATAGGTTTGGTCATCAGGCTACCATGATCAGCTCAAACAAACGTGTAGATATAGATAATATATAGATATTATACATGTATGAAAGTACAATTTTACTCCAATACAAGGAAAGAAAAATTTACTTAATGTTCGACTGATCTTTTAAACACAAATGACCCACAAATTTCTGCAGGCAACTTTTTGGACTTGTGGCCTCAAAAGTGGGAGGAAGGTGTTTGTATGTTGTTCTTTGCTGATGGCCCTTCTGGACTTCTTTGACAGTATTGTAATGTAACAAATATCGAGTAAAATCATGCTGTTCACAGTGTTAGATATATACATCATACATGTTTATAATTGTACAATTTTTATTGAATCAAAATAAGAAACATTTTACATCTTATCCACTGGAAAATCATTCATCTGTCCTATTTGTAAATATAGTATATTTGTACATTGTGGGAAGCCGTATAAATTTTACTTGAATCAAAACTATTACCCGTAAGTACAATTAAGTATGCAGAATATTCATCCTTTTGATTCACTTACACTTGTTCCTTGCAAGATGGATTGAAAAAGAAATGCTGACAATGATTTTGTACCTAGACTAACACTTATTGTTTTTCAGATGCTTATTATTGGGTATGGAAGTATTGTTTTGGGTGGCAGAGCTGTGTGTTTGAAGAAACTTGTCTGTATTGGACACCTGCGTATTGTGACCATTTTCTTCAAGTCTTGTTAGACAGCAATTTTAAAGGCTGGGCCTTGATGGTCATTACTATAAAATGTACAGTACATTCCAGCTATGATGCTCCAAAACAACAGTTTTATTTTTAGAATTTCAGCCTTGATGCTCCAAAACAATTTAACAATGTCAACACTGTTACATAGTTTTGCTCATGTTTAAAACATTTTGTTTAGAGTTTTCCTTTAACTTTTTGCTGTGTTTGTAACATTACAGATCAAAACTCAGTTTTGTTACCAATGACAGAAGAAAACTAACCAACAGTTCACGTGTCCTAATATCAAATTTCTCTTTAAAATTTGCAATCGTTTAATATATAAACTCTGTAATTGTCATTATGTGACAATAGATAAATAGATGAGTATTAGTTTATAACGGTATTGAATATCTGATTGATGATCATTATTTTTTCTTGATGAAAAACTTTTTCAGAGGCCATCATTGTACCAATTTCTAAATATTTCAATAAATACAATTACAGAATGGCACGTGTTCTTCCTCATTTCATTTTGTTAATATTATAATTACCCACCTTAGGGGTTGTTCAAGGGTAACCAAGAAGAGGATTACCTTAAAGTTTGCCTTCCTGATGACTGAAAAAAATCATGACCATTGTATGTTCAGAACATGGCATTTCAAAACCAGATACCTTGCTTTAGTACTAAGAACAGCTGAAAAGGGTCCCATAATCATTTACCAACACAAAAAACAAAGTCCAACTGGATGGGCTCCTCTACATTGTCAGCAGGGCAAGCCCTTAATAATAGCTGCCTGGCTAGTTGGGCTGCCCTGGCTGTCTTTTTACAGCCGAAGGAATAAATAAACAAGATAAATGTAGGCAAAAAGCAGGTACATTCACCTGGAAATTTAAGACAAGACAACTTTCTTAACACAAAATCTTTACTTCATCATTGGACATAAGAAATCTAGAAGGAATTCATTTTACACAATTGAAGAGTTGAGCACTGCAGTTACTAGTATAATAATAACTGAATAACATTTTAAAATGCCATAAAAATCATTCACCAACTTTTTAAAAGAACATGTTTCCCATTGTAGTAAAATATGTACTCTCATTGAAATTACAATAATATTTACACCAGATTTAGTTTAGAATGATTGGCACGTTATTTTCAACAACATTACCCAACACCAACAACACATCTAAAAACACATGTACAAGAACACACTGACATCTAGCAGAGGTCAAGGGTCATGAGAGGTCATAACCAACCAATGGAACAGCAGAGTTTGGACCACACCCCTTCAAACACAAACCATTAAAAACATGGCCAGCAGGAACTACTATATCTATGTCTATAGTTGCAATTATACCTGGTCTTATATCTTGAATGTTTGGAATCAGAACTGGCTAGTATTTTCTAGATCAACAACTGAATGCGGCAACTCTCTATTTGTAAGCTACAGTATATTGTACGTACTTGTATAAAAAAAGCATTACATTGTGGATGTATCTTCAACAAGGTACACTGTCAAAATATGTACTACTAAACAGCAATGGGGCAAATAAGCTCTGTAAGGCTGGAACAACCTGCCACATAGTTTACATGGCACTTCACTTCCATGGCTAGATCTAAGTATAGAGTAGTACTAGCCAAAAACTCTACTGAGCAGAACTTGTGTAGAATTTGTACCAATTCATGTCCACTGAGTATTATGAATACCTACATGTGCTACAAAAACTACTGAACAATTATAATCAAATCAATGATTTCATGAAATGTTCAACATATTCATAAGAAAAACTGCCATAATCTTTAATATCTACACCTTGTATTAACTTTCTCCCTGCTACCTATTCCTAGAAACTACCAGTATACACATTTGGTGCCAAAAGGCTACAGTAGCAGGAAGAAGGTTAGTATTATGTTCAAATAGAGAAGAGAACAGTGGAATGATAAAGCTAAAATAGGAACAGTTGTATCTAAAACAATTCTACTGCTAAAAACATTATGTTGAGAAGTCACTGGATCATGGAAATATTGGTCCTCTGTATTTCGCAGTATATATGTGACAGTCCTGTACAGGTCACATAAAAATAATTGTACAGGATTCATAAAATAAACACTTTAAATTTACAGAATTCAACTATGATATACATGTACTGGAATGTCTTTCATGGGTATAATGAGCTTTTCTTAATCATGAGAAGTTGTAAAGTCAGAAAAAAAGTAAAAACTTTCTGCTAAGTCCTGAAGTCACTGCATGTCTACACAACATGTAGCCTACAACACTGGATAGTTGCTAGAATTCCCAGCAAATTTCAAAGTCAAATGTATATCTGTACCTTTATGCCCTATGCCAAAATATATAATAATATAATACAGAAGGTAGCAAACCCTTCAACATGACTTTGCTGTACTACCAGAGAAGAAATTCAAGTACCCTTGGAAATTAGAAAATGACTTCTAAACTCTAAAATGACATACGTTACATCATGCATCTTATCTATGTTCAGTTGTCATGGCAATGGCCTTTTATTTCAAGTTTTGAGAAGTTCTGACGAGCACATGAGAAAATGGAATGAATATCTGTCAACAGAGTTGGACAGACCAGAGTGCATTGAATAATTGTATCTTCCTATCAGCACTGTATAACAACAGTATTCTACATGTAGACTGAAACATCAACAAATAAAAAATATACAGTCTTACTCTGACATTATTCAGCAGAAACAAATCTTATGTAACTGACTAGAATTCTTTCATAAACAACTTGATAGAACTACACTGAGGACGATTCTGGTCTAAAATGTTCTGCCCCTGCTGTTCATCTTGGTCATCCCCACACCATGATGACTTTGTTGAAACTGACGAACACGCCCTTATTTGGTTTGCTGCGGAACGGTAGAATAAGGGGTAAACTGTCAGCTGTTTCACACACCTAGCAATAGTAATTTGAATTTTGTCACCATGTTCAAACAAGGCTCTTTAAAATAGCACAAACTAGACGTCCCTTATATTTGAGAAATGTTACTTGAATGAATTCGGAATCAACTTGAAGGATAGAATACTTACCACACAAAGAATCTCTGTCCATTGTACACACCGTCATGTTTTCCATCTGGTAAAAAAATAATAAAGTATTAAAGTTACTATATCAGTATACGAGTGATCGAGTGATCACTATTTTTGTTTACATCATATACTTACAAATTATTTGGATACACATGCGCAAATTATTGAATCAGATACTAATAGGCAAATCAGCAAACCATCACCCGCTTTTTGCCTACCACTAGCTGGCCATGACATCATATTCCCTTACTCAATTGCAAGTAAAAGATCTGAACAAGTCACGAAAAAAAAACCAGAAGACCCTCCTACCTTCAGAGTCTAGCTCGACCCCCAGGTAAGCCTCGCTGCGGCCGGGGAGGTGCCCCACGTACAGGACGCTCCCCTTGCTGATCTTCCCGCCGGGCCGCGAGAACTTACACTTGTAGCCGAGCTGCACGTCGGCCGGAGTACGGGGGACAAACGGGGGACGGGACGGAACACTCAGGTTTGGTGTGCTGGAACTGGGGACAGGAAATAAGACATAACCAGAGTTATCAAATTGAATGTACTAGCCTTTAAGTGTTTGAAAATTCATTTTTTTCCTAGAACTTTGGAAGTCTTTACCACCAAGCACAGAATCTGTTTCCTTGCTGGATTGCTTTAAACAACTTTTGCAGGCAGGTGTGCAAAGATTAGGTGTGACAATGCCAATGCAGTCACCACAGTGCCACTTAGTGGTAAGAAGCAGTCATTGCAGGCCAAGGAAAGTCTACTGAAATGTCAGCAGACAAAAAGAATCCTTAGTTGTGTACTAGTACCAATCTTGAGCCCAGTAGCACATAAATCGTCAGTGAAACCCCAGTTGATCCAACAGTTCTCCTATTATCATTCAAAAATTTTAGGTGAGAAAAGTCTTTACCTAATAGTATGGTAGTCTCTGTTGTTCTGAGTAACCTTACCTAATAGTATGATAGTCCCTGTTGTGCTGAGTAGCGATGGCCTTGGGGCTGACACTGCGGAACCCCGGGGGAGACGGCCCGCGTGGGGAAGTGCGTTTACTGCGCCGTCCCGTCGGCGGCTCCGCCAGGAGACCTTCCGTGTCGCTACTCATGGTCGGCAAACTCTGCAGTGAGCTCGACTTCCCGAGGTAATCTGTAACAAGCAAACAAATAAATAAACAACAAAGCTATTGAATAAATCTAGCCACAGGTATTCTTTCTAACACAATTCTACCATTTCAAGGACAGAGGCAAATGGCATCAGTGTGCAAGCATGTCAGATGATTGGGAACAGAGGATAAACTGGAAAGTGAGTGCGTGGATTCAGTTCAAACTACAGGGAATAATAATGTCATATTTGCTGGGTTAGATATCGCTAGTGCATTTCCCTTTTGCCATAAAAATTTGACATGCGTATTGATACAAAGGAACACCGTTGCCTTCTGAAAATGCAGAACTGTAACTTTCAGAGGTTTCTTGAGTCTGTTTTCCTGAGTATCTGTTCTCAATGGCAAAGTTGAACTCTTACAAACATTCTTACAAGTCTTTAAAACAAATGGAGCAAATCTTATGAGATTTATGGGCTAAAAAAAAGAACAATGCCCTTCTGCTGACCTTTCCGTGACCTTGGGCTCCGCTCGCCTGACCCTGACCGTCGGTGCCGCGCCTTGCTGGAGTAGCGACCGTAGTCCTTGTCTGTGTCGGTGTCGAATGACGAGATGTCACTGCTGGACGAGATGGAGTTGCTACGGCGACGACCTTTGGATGACCCCATCGTGTGAACGTCTCTGAAAGGGGCTGAAGTTGTGGAGCGAAAGTTTGGACTTTAATTCTGAGTTCTCAATTGTATACACCCCACTTTTCATGTTAGGGGTATTGGACAAAAAATTGAAGTTGTTGTAAGCCATTCACAAGCCATTTAGTTCATCTGAAAGAGCTCACTGAAAGAAACAAAATGGTTTTTGTTTGAAGTGAATTGGATATTTAATGGCTAAGATATTGACAATTGAAATTTAATTTTCAATTCCGGGCCTTGTTTTTCCAAATTCTGATAAATAAGCCATTTTACCATTTCCCTATCTTTTCAATAAGCTGAAATAGACCACATGGGGCCAGGAAATGTATGTTTTAGTACTTTACTGACAGGTATTATATGTGCTTCCTGCCAGTATAACAGGCCAGAATATACCTTTGGCAAGAAGGTACTTGAGGGTACATTTTGACTAGGGGTACACTCTAGCCTGTTACACCTGGTCAAGCTGATCTTAATGGCATCTTCAGTTTCTTTTTCTAGGAAAAAAGGAAGCACACAACCAAAGGGCACCACACTTTCATTCAAGGAAGTAAAACTTCAGCTCGCTTCTCAAATTTTTGCAGCAGAACAACATAAAACTTCACCTCACCACAAACTGACAACCATAACACCAGACAAACACTAGGACCTGATTTACGTGCAGGCAAAATCCTGATGGAATGAAACCTGCGTACTCACACGAGCGTAAGGAAACTGCGTACGTTCAGACCATAAGCCAGCTCTTGAGCAGACAATACAACGTCATACAGCGTACATTCTTGACGTAAATCAAAGTCAAAGCAGGTCAATTTCAAGGCAGGAAAAGTTCAACAAACACAGTTTTCGTTTGCTCTTGTGTGTACCCAGCTTTCAAACTGTCACGCTTCTGCATGTAAATTGGATCCAATAACAACATTAAGTCAGAACAGCAGAGAGAAGTGTGTGCCGTGCAGGCAGGCAGCTAACCTGGGTAAGAGTGAGACTCTACATCTGTACTACTGTAGCCATCAGCGTCAGGGTAGGGGTGGCTAGAGAAGGCACTAGACTCTGAGGAACCAGGGCAGGAGAGAGAAAGGGTGTGTTACATTTAAAGACATTAAACGTGCATAAAAAGTTGTGCCGAGCAAACTTGGCTTTATGAATGACATCCAGGTATGGACTAGTTTTGGATTGTTTTTTCCTTCCCCCCAAATCCCACTCTTTATATCTGAAGGGTACTGACACAAATGAGAATACTCACTTGTACAGTCAGTTGAAGAAGTTATAATTACTTTGAATGAAATTTTGTATGTTGTCATAAAAATCATAACTGTCAAAAATATAAAGTGATCTTCTCTGTAGAAAAATAGATTTTTTTTCTCCACTTTTCTATCCCATACACTGTAGTTACCAAAGGATGTCATCTATAGAACCAAGTTTGCGTGGTCTTAGTGTTGACTTGCAATATAAACTATGAGTCTACTGGTAAGAAAAGAGACGAAGGGTTCTCCTATGATATGAGAGTAAAATAGAAAATAGCTACTCTATTATCAAAACTGGTCAAAAACATGCACAATATCACTGCACAAAATATGAGTCAAATCACAAGTGGCACGATAAACAATGGCTTGACTGTATATAATTCAACTTAATATCAAGCATGGTGTCCCAAACATTATGTTTCAGATGAACTTTGTTTTAAGTGATTTTTTTATAGAATTCATAAAATTTGAATGTATACTAATAGGCACCCCTGTTAAAGTATGATCATGACGAAGGGTGACAACAGAAAGATGGAAAAACTATTCCAAGATCAGAATCCCCATCAGAAAAAAGGCACCAATAGGTGGCAACTCTGGTTCAAGGTGAGGCATGATGTAGACATATGTTTCAAAATGGTTTATGTACATTTTAGCCATCAAAAAATGATTCATTTAAGAGTTTACCCGTCCGATTCTTAAGTTATACATTGTAGGACATATGATGATTATCTCAGAGTCTAATCTATGATCCACCGTAATATGCAGGTCTGTACTCTTAACAGTGTCTCTTTTTGAGGTGTTAAAAGAATCATTTTGAAGTTAAGCTGAATGTGAAGTGGATTACAGGTTACAGGTAACAGATATCACATATCAAACATATCAAAATCAGTACTGGATATTGAGTCGGTGAAACTATGAACAGTGTAGCTGTCTTGGGGTAGTTGGCAAACAGTCTATACGGCAATATTTGCACTATATTAGACTCTCATTACCCATTAAGACATATCCTTGTGTCTATGTTACTGCAGAACCTATCTGGTGTGGCAGCCTGCCTGGCAAGTGGCCTGTTCAAAGGCCCAGTACCGGCGACGTCCCGATATGTTGAAAACCGAGGCTACACCCCGTACCAGATACTCTTCTTCGACGACCTGCTGATATTCCTCGTTGCTCTCTGCATTACCGTGTACCAAAGGCCGAATATGCTACCAAACAACTGGAAACATGGCGCCCGGCTCCTTTTCCAAGGATTGGCTCGATTTACCAGCATCCTCTGCCTGTTTACATCCTATCAGTTCGTTCCTCCAGCAAACGCGGAAGCCGTCTGGAGTGCCAGTATGCCGGTCTTTGTGGTGGCCCTGTCCTGTATCTTCCTTCGAGAGGTGTGTTGCTCACTTCCAAAGATTGGAGAAAGTTTATAAGCAAGTGTTGAGATACCATTCTGCTGAGCAATTGTCAGATTGCTCAGCAGAACTCCCAAACTGAGCTAATATTACAGCTATACTCAACATACAGCTCAAATAGCTAGCAAACGTTTGACCATTCTATTTCTAATTTTATTTCAGAATCCAACTCGTGTGACCATGTTTGGCATCCCGTGGTGTGTAACTGGCGTCGCACTGCTCGGCTACGGTAATTTTGTCCACGAGTGGTCGGCAACGGACACAGCGAACATTGCCCGAGGGATGGTTCTAGCCATAACAGGAGCACTGCTTCACTCCATGCTTGACGTCGGTGCCAAAGGCCTTCTAGAATCCACCCCGAGGGAAAAGCTTGTGACCTACACGTATGCTATAAGCACAGTGTTTGCTGGGGTGGGAGCCTGCATCACTGGTTCTACCTGGCACCTTGAGCCGCAGACAGCCAGGGTGTTAGCTGTCAGCTGTGTTAGTCACGGCACATGCATGTTCTTCTTCTACCTTGGTCTGAAGTTGGTGGAAGTGAACGCAGTCACTGCACTCATGCAGCTCAGTGCATTCTCAGCCTATGGCCTGCAGTGGGAATTACTGGGGTTTTCTCCAACAGTTTTAGATGGCTTGGGTTTAACGTGTGTACTGATAGGGACATCTTCTGTTGCGATTTGGGAAGCACGTACCCGTTGGAAGGAAGAACGCCACGTGACATTGATGAAAGAACTACACTTTTAAGTCACGACACTGAGTCATGACTAAAGCTATTTCTTGTTCTTTTCTGAGCTGGTATTAGATACTTAGTACCAAGTAAGTCAACCAGAGTATTAGACTAAGTCATTTTGTATATCATGCATAGTCTGGACATTTCTTTGGTCTTCCAGTGGCATCCATTGTAGGTTTGTTTTAGTTTTTGTGACACTAGCATCCTTTTCATTGTTGTTCATATAGAATCTTGCAGGTTGGTTCTGTACTGTTTTTCTAAAAACAAAAATAAAAGGCTTTCTTTGAACCCTGTTCAAATCTTGAATGTTTGATGATTGGACGTGACCATGGTTCTAACTTTGACCCCTGACCTTTCGTGCTGCCCAGCCCAGTGTCCGTCCCGATCAATGACTCTGCGTCGTCCGTCGCGCCGAAGCCCTCGTGTGGTCGCCATGGCGCCAGCAGCAGGGTCGTGGAGTCCGACGCATCCGACTGGGGAGAGCCGTCAAGGGCGTCTTTCGCTGTAAGGAGGGAAGAACAGTACATGTTTGAACCAGAAGTAAATTTTCTAGAACCAGAAGTAAATTTTCTTTTTGTATATCAAACAACTTTGAGACAGAGTCAAACTTCAACCTTATTAACAAGGACTGCAAATCAGTTCAATTAAAATCTAACTGACCATTTCAAATTGACAGGGCTTTTTCCAGCATAAAGGGTTTCAATGTCCAGACGGGAAGAAATTGACATCCATATCGATATATAGAAAAGATAAAGCTTTGAATAAAGTACTCTATTAACTCAAAGTTGTTTCTGGTAACTTAGGATTTTTCCAATATGTAAAATTGTCCAAAAGAAATTTTAAATCATTATGAAAGTCCTGAATTCTGAAGTCCTGTTAGGCTTAATACAAATGGCACTGCCGCAGATTTATAAAACACCCACCGTCCCAACCGTTATACGCAGACGGCGGCGTCTTCCTCTCAAACGACCTTCGACCGTGGTGCTGGTCCTCCACACCTACACTCCCGTTCAACTTTGACCCGATGAGGGGTGAAGGGTCAAACCTGGAGGGGAGCACGTTGGTGGGGGTGCTGTGGATCTTGGGACTGGAGATGCCGACGGACTGGTCCAATATCCGGGGGGTGTTGGCCGTGTAGACGGAAAGCTGGGCCCTGACCTTGGTGAGTTCCGCGTTCAGGGCGTTGACCTCGTCGCGGGCCGTCTGTCGCTCCTGTTTGTACCGCTCCATCTTCTCCTGCAGCTCCGACTTGTCACCTGAGGACACATGGGGAACTGTTAGTGATTTAGGTTGCACATAATCTGTCCTAGAGGCAGACATGCAAGGAAGAAGCTGGTGTTTTAGAGTAAGATTATTACAATTTGCCGATGAAAGATATTTGGTATTTGTGCAAACTTTCTGCCTGCTATCTGCTATGGTGCTGAAATTGTGACACTGTGTTTTGAGACCATCCCATCCCATCACCCCCCCCCCAAAAAAAACCTCCCCACCAGACCAGAAACCCTGTAATGAGACCTCCCCACCAGAAACCCTGTTATGAGACCATCTTGCCACCATTGCCAGCACCAGAAGATCCTCACTCTTCTCACTTGAGTGTGAGACGATTCCATCAAAGAAACTATATTGTGAGACCACCCAACCAGAAACCCTGTTATGAGACCATCCCGCCACCATTACCTGCACCAGAGCCCCAGGAGTCACCCAGCCTGTAGCTGCTCCGCTCACTTTGCGCCCGTTCCCGTTTGCGCCGGATGTCGCGCAGCTCGTCCCGCAGCCGAAGGTTCTCCTCGTTCAGCTCGTGGTTCTTCTCCCGCAGCTGGCGACACGTCTGCCGAAGCTGTTTGACCTCCTCGTCAAGCCCAAGGTCAGAGGTGTTGAAGATGTTGTGGGAGTGCTGCTGTTGCTGCTTCGTCAGCAGGACAATCTGGGCAGAACATGAAGTTTAAACGAAGTGTAAGTTTCAATTTAATATGTATCTTATCCAATTCAGATCCAGGTCAGTGATATTAAACAGGTTGTTGAACTGTTGCTGCTTGGTAGGCAGGGCAATCAGGGTTAAAGTAGGTATCCACAAGCTAGCACATTGATGCCTAATTTGGTTGTGAAAGCAACATCTTGCAAAATTTCAGTCTCAAACATGCTATGAGAGAGGTGCTGCTGCCCAATTTGGGTTGAAAGGACATGTTTTAATGTTTTGACACAAACCACAACTACACACATCTCGAATATTTCTGTGATGAAGACATACAATCTGGTAAACCTAACTGACTGACCATTCACCCAAGATTCATCTCGAGAGACACCAAAATCATCCAAGAAACTCTGGAAGCAGCCATCGCAGATAGAAACATGGACTCAAGCCCTTTCATAGGCTGAAGGATAATAATGATGATAACATATGAAGATAGATAGATAGATGAAGATCTGTGCCCTCATAAAGCATAGGACTAATGGTTTCCTCTACCAATAGCATACAAATCAGAGATTGAAACACAGACAGCTATATATAGGATAGCTGGGATTCTAACTCTAGACCTTCAATCATAAAGCTAGTTTGCAGATTACTATAGACCACTGCACTTTCCACCTGCTCCTCAATGTGATTTAAATGTCCTTAAGACATACTAAGACCCATGCCCACCTGTTCCTTAAGGTTCTGGTTCTCCTCGCGCAGGTCGCCGATGCTGAGGTCGTTGACCGTGCGGAGACTCTCGTTCTCCTCCTTCACCTTCTCCACCTCCTGCTCGGCGCGGGAAAGTTCGCCGACGGCACACTCGTTAGCTTCCTGTAGATCTCGCATCTGGCTCTCTAGGTCCTCTGTACACAACAGGAATATGTGTTAGTTTATAGGCGACTCCTTCAAGCCTTAGGTGTGTGACCCTGACCTCTTCACGTTGATGTATTGTATTGTTGTAATGTTTGTGTAAATGTTTGTCTTGTCAGCAGGGCAAGCCCTTAATAATAACCACCTGGATAGTTGGGCTGCCCTGGCAGTACAAATTGTCTTTTTTACAGCCAAATAAATACATGTGTTAGTTTTGTTTGGTAAACCATGTATCCATGTACTTGTGAAGCTGTTATGTGCAATATCAATGCATTAGAAGAATATGCTAAGAGTTTGTCACACACATCTTAACATGAGGCTGACAACTGAAGAATGGAACACCCTTTACTTAGTCAGCATGCACCTTGGTGTTTGCTTATTAGCTAAAGGGTGTCTAATCTTAATTATTACACTGTTTTTACTGTTACACTGGTTTGCAATGGGTCATATAAGTTTTATTTGTTTATCCGTTCCTTCCTTCCTTCTCACCTATCTTCTTGAGCAGCACAGTAGGGTTGTTGGGGTCGTATTCTGTGAAAGAGCTCTCGCCGGGATGTCTGGCGGCAGACTGAGCCTCGTCCAGCGCCCGTCTCAGGGTGAACACCTCCGTCGCTAGGTTCTCTTTCTCTCGCAGGATGTCACTGTATTTCCTCTCAAGCTGGGTGAGAAAATAACAAAACAGTCAGATTAGCTAAGTCTATTTAACTTAACGTAACTTAAAATGTAGGGGTTGAAATTCATTGTGGCAGCAGAAGTCAAGTTGCAGTACCTCTACTATCTCCATGGAGGCGCTGGTGTGCTGGTCCCTCTTGATCTGGTCCAGCTCCTGTTCCAGACCCAGTCTGACATCCTGCTCCTGCTGTAACTGCAATGAAAAAATATGCAAACTTTACTTAAAAAGTTTAAAACATGCAAAATAATGCAGCTTTCTAACCTTCAGCCTGCCAAGCCATCTGTTTGGCACCAAATTTGTAATAATTGGTTATAAGGTTAGGCAGCAGGGAGAAGGATAACTATACAATGGAAGGTACATTTTGTACTGTGTTCTCTCTAATAATGTACATTACGTATTCTCCTCTTTTACCATTAACTTCCAAATTTGGTAAGCCTGGCTATATTTAGACTCTAAAGAATATTCACAAAGGAAGTGAGCAAAAGTGGGATTACTGTAACAATGGCCACAGAATAAGAAGTGATGCTACTTTAGTATTTTACGTCACCTGGATATTCAGAAGACTTTCACTATAGGAGCAACAGCTAGCCTGGTCACACACACATTTTTTCATGGATCGTGATGTTGAATAATACATGTGCATATTACCAAGTTTGTGTAGGTTATACAGTAGAACCTTGCCTATATGCCTAAGTCAGTAGCTGGTCCCTTGCTCCCCTCATATAGAACAGGTGGTTGTTTATTTACTTCAGTACAAAAAGACAAAAGTTAGGAGAAATCTTCTTGCAGTTTTTGATTAACCTTCTCCCTGCTGCTTAACCCCAAGACCAAAGCAAATTTTAGTGGCAAATTGCTACCTTAGCAGGCTGAAGGTAAAGCCTTTTGCTTGTGTTCTTAAAAAACTGGCTCTAGATTACTCTCTTTACCAACTTGAAGGTAAATATTTTCTCACCAAATGTTCAAATTAGTTACGGAATTAGACAGCCTGGAAATCCAGAAAATTTTTTAGTCCACAAGGGTGTCAAATTTCACATTTCCAATCTTTCCACTCCCCTCTTCAACAGAAAAATGCTCAGAATGTACATTTTCTTGCCTGGGGCAGCAAGGATTAACAAGTTTCTGATGAATTCTCTCTTGAGCATTACATACAAAATATGTGAAATTTTTTGGCACTCCTTAAATCTAAGTAAGATATGCTATAATTATGTCTTAAAAGGAGTAGAAACTAAGTAACAAAGGAGGGAATCTTAGAATAAGATTTGGTTGTCTGTCTGACAGTCTGGTTGTATGGAGGAAGAATAAAACAATGAGCAGTTTTGTAACTCTAGAACTTTGTGTCTGACCTAAATTTCCTTTTTGTGCCTCATCTGAATAGTCTGAGAAGAAATCCCAGAATTAGATTTAGCTCTCTTCCTGACGTTCAGATTAAGTAGAAGTAACATAATTACGCCTTTCCAACAAGCATTAAGAAAAATCCTGTCTCTAGTGACAACCTGTCTACATAAACCAGATTTTATCAGCCCCTGAGTAGTCTTGTAGTGCAGTTTTGACTGTATATATAGAATTCATAAAGGACACATACAGGACATATACTGATTAGTACTGCTGACTGACTTTAAACACCTAAGGTCCTGTCTAGTATCCTGTCCCTTATGTAACCAGTTTGTATCTCTCAATGTCTGTATAACAGGATTACCCCTCAGGCAGAGCTTCTCTTCCACTCCTCATACAAGTCCAATTACACCTGCTGGAACTAAGACGGGCACTTCATTATCTCTGTAAAGGACGACTAAATCTAATTCCGCGATTTCTCGTCAGTTTCTTCAAAAGGGGAACAAAAACAGGAAACTCGGGGAACAGAACTGTCCATTGTATTCTTCGACAACTAAAACAGGCATTTCATTAACATGCGAGGAAGACAACTAAACCTAATTCTTAAACCCCTTCTCAGACTTTTCAAACAAGAAGTTAATAACTTTCTGCCTTCTTTCTTCTAACTGAGAGCAAAACAGGACATTTAATTTTCAGTCAGCAAATGAACAAAGGGACTGTCTAGAAGTGGTCACAATGGCCAGATGGGCTTAATGCAGAGGTTGTTACCTGTTTGACTGTATATGTCCTGTGTGTGCTACAGTAACTTACTGTAATCCATACACAGCACATACAGACTAACTATCAACTGTTATCAAATATCTATTAATTCCTTGCCTGCTCAGGGACAACCAAAAAGTTTTCACAATGGCCAGATGGCCTTTATGCAGAGGTTGTCACTGTTTAACTGTATATGTCCTGTCTTTACTACAGTAACTATTATTTCCTTACCTGTTCAGACAGGTGTGTGTAGTCCCTGTCCCTGTCTGTGAGCTGTGATTTAGTCATGGCCAGTTCCTCCTCTAACTGCTGCAGTCGCCCACTTGGGTCTCCTCCGCCGTTCTGTATTCAAAAACAACATGTTCTCCATCATATAAATCCTGTAAAACTATACATAGCTAGCTACCTTACAAAAAAAACTAATTCTGAGGATGAACATGAAAACAGTCTGAGGAGAATGAATAAGCTCCATGACAGCAAACTGCTCTGATCTAAGACTCCTTAAGCTATGGTTGAACACAAAACAACCTTGTTCTTGAGTAAAACTTGAAGTTTTCCATGGTCTACAACGGTACCAATGAGAGATGTTACACATACCAGGCATAATGTGATACAAAATGTATCAAGCAAGTGGCTAAATTAGCTGAAGAGTCAGACATTTCAAAAAGCACCTACTATCTTTCATTCTCAGTCACTGATGACAAAAGAAAGTGGATGCTACCTGAAATGTCTGACTCTTCAGAGAACTTATCCAGTTGCTTGATTCATTACACATAGGCTATAGCTACCTTTAGTTAAATAACTGTAAAGATATAATATGACTGTCACAGTACTCACCTGTCTGTGTCCATTTTCTACTCCCCCGTTGGTCAGCCTGCTGCTGTGTGTGGACAGCGGCGTACTCCTGTGCGACGAGCTACGGGAAACCGTCGACGTGACGGGCGCCGTCCTGCTGGTCACCAGGGGGCTCAACGCTATTGGCTGAGCCGTCGAGCTGTTAGCCAATCGGGAGAAAGTGTCTGGCGTGTAGCTCCTACTTTTGTCGGACGTGAACCTGTCCACGTCCTGAACGGTCGGCACGCTGCTCGAGCGTTTGCCGTAGTCCCGCGGTCTGACCTGCTCGGAGCTGGACGGAAGTGTTACCGGGCTCTGTCGGACGGAACTGCGGGCACTGGACGACCGAGAGTGCCGGGAGTGGTGGGCGTCGTCCGCCCCCCTACCGGCACCGCGGTACCCCCCGTCCCTCCCCTGATCAAAGTACTGGGACAACTCCTGTTCGCTGGTGACACTAGCAGGGGGGGTGCTACCACGGCTGCCGGATAAGCGATCCCCGTTCGTGTTAATCCCGTTAAGTCCCGCGTAGCCATTCAAGTTCCCACTCGCAGGGCGGCTGTACCTGTCCACAATGCTAGCAGTACTCGAGCGACCGTCTTGGCCGTAAGATCGACCCCCGTCCATGGCTGACAAACCAGCTTTGCTTGCTGCAAGTTTCTCCTGGATCAAAGCACGACCTTTGACACTCCACGGGGGAGGCTTCCCATTGGCTGTTGGTCTGCTGACCCCGCCCACAGCACCTGGTTGGTCCCTTATAAAGGTGTCAGTGAACCTGACAGAGTGTCTCGTGTCCTTGGTTGAACTTTGACCGCTGTATCTGTCCAGGGAGTCTGTGTCTACAGAGTCTCTGTCGGCATCTTTTGCAATATCTGGAACACAAACAACCACCTGTTAAAATAGAAAATAACTGAAAATATTGCAACTATCAAAACTGCAAGAAATGCTTTTCTTTGCTTTATTCCTCAAGCTCACAATAAAAAAAGTCACAATTTTTTTACCTTTTTTTTTTGTAATTGTTTACAAACAACCAAGCTAGAAAGCTCATCAGTATCAGTCAGTAGAATTCAACAAGTTTGAACTGTAATTTCCAAAAAACGTGATGTCACAAAAACAGTAGACTGCTTACTGAGTCAACAACTTAGCTAGAACATACATTTCAACTTTTGAAACGTCTATTTAAGACTTTTGCTCCGCCCAACAATCCCCTTAAACCCCCCCCCCCACCTGCCACCAAGTGGTCCTCAAATCCAGCTGGGCTCAAATCCGTGTTTCCTAAAACCTGTTCTTCACATAGTTCTTACCACAATCCATGGAGTATATGATACTGTAAAAACCTTCTGTATGCCACAAAAGAAAGGATCAGCTCTTATTCCAGTTTGGTTGATTTGCTATATTGTTACTATAAAGCTAGCTAGAATTTTCAGATCACGAGAAGCAGTCAAGACTTGGCCCACACCTTTATCTTTTATGTGTTAAAAAAATAACTTTCAGATCTGTGAGCCAGTGTGACCCCATGTTATGCTATGGATGTATTTGGTGTAAAATCCTGTACAAATATTGTAAAGGTCAAAATGTAATGTATAGTATACATAGGATCAGTACACTTTTGAATAAAATAAAAACAAAGTTTTCAACAAAAGTAACCGCAATGCTTAGTATGGATTATAAAGGAATTGCCTGTGAATTCCTAATAAATATGAAGAGACCTTGGTATCGTGTGTGGCCTTTGTTTATTAGGATTGGTATAACAGAAATTACAATCTGTCATCTGCAAAATATATTTAAAGATTTAGGCAATGCACACTCACCATGGGTGGCACGAAGCAGGATGACGATATTCCAAACAAAAGTCAAGTAAGCTATTGATCTATGAGTCATATCAAACCTCAGAATTGATTGAGTTGAGTGAGTCACATCAAAATATGACAGAAAAGTGTGCAAATTTTGTGTCTCAACGTTTTTTATTTCACAATTTTACGACCACTTTCTGACAGCAAAATAGACAACCTTTTTCCCTGTACTTAACAGCCACACCTGACAATGGCAACGTACAATGTACAACGTTACGACAAGCTTGTGTGGTAATGAGTTGACACAAGGCTTGCAAACTGCACCTGATTCTAACCAGAACAAACCATCTTATCTCTCAAACAAAGGCGGTGCCGTTGGACGTTATGTCAACAAGCGTGTTATTTTTGGACGGTAGGCTGGTAAAACTGTATGCAGGTAGCCGGTGGAGGGGCATCTGCCTTACAATGGCGGACGAGGTCAGAAACATTACCCACATTTCACAATGCACTGGACGGAACAGGTAGCCCAGGAATCTACACACACACTTCAGGTGAAACGTCTGTTCAGTTTCCACCTCCACACAGGTGTAGTCAACCTGAACAGACTGAATTGTGACAACAAAAAGACGGGGGAAAACATGACAGAAAACACCTCGCCTCGTCCCTCACTAACTCTTGTCTTACAGATTGTGAAAACACATTCTGACAAGTCAAGAATGTCAATAAAGATTTTGAAAATACCTACAATCGTCAGGGAATTCCTGTATCAACTCCGGTTTTTATAGCACCAAACATTAAGCCCCATGTTCGGCCTTGACTCGTACAGCCAGTTCACTCATGTCCGTTGAACTTCAAGGTGGTCCATTCATTCTTCTCTTTGTCTCTATCTTTTGTCCGACGCCACAAAACGGTCGTGAAAAGGTCATCAAAGTGATTTCAGCAGTGCGCCAGGTGTAAACGTAAACCTACGTAAACCTGAATTCTGGAAAACTGCAGGTTCTAGAATTTTTCATGATAGTTAGAAGTTGAAGGAAAATCCTTAGATCTACTAGTAGCCCTAACTGTGGTAGATTGTTGACAGTCCTTTCACTTAAGTTAAGGTCTGCCTTTCACTCTTTCATTTGTCTCCGTCCTTTGTATGTCAGACTACAAAAACGTTACGATATAGGAGTAAAAAAAGGCATCAAAAGGACATCAGTTTATAACTACAACAACCAATAGAGTTCTTGTATCAAGCTTAAGTAGTTTACGTTTCCCTAAAAGTAAGTTCAGAACTTCCTCCTGAAAGCTTCAACAGGAGTCATTCTTTTATCTAACCTTGACTTTGCAGGTTTGTAAACTCGCTTCACTTCAGGTTACATCCTTAAGTGTACACCTCACCAACAGATGGACATGCCAGTTGTACCAGGTAACATAACGGCCGTACTGTTGCCAGGCTGTTGATAGCCATGTAGGTTACAGGTGCCAAACTCTTTGGGGAGTAACAACTCCACACACCTGATAGCAGAGACGGTACCTTGTACACCTGGCACACACACCTGTTAAGCACTTTATTCCTACAAACTTCTACAGGAGTTATACATTTAGAGTCTAAGAGCACATCTAACAGAGGTTCATTCTGTTATACAAGTGTAGAAAAACAGGTCTACTTTGTCCTTAAGTTGGGCTACGTGGGTACAAGCAGGATAACATTGTTTGCTGTGAGAATCAGCGATAGAAAAGGTAGACAAAGGGGGAGGGACCACAGTAAACACCCTGGGAAGTGTGAATGCAGCCATTAGCACCAGAATTTACCCTCAGACCTTTTTGCACGCAGGCAGACACAAATAAGTTGGCACAGACTTAAAGCAACAACACCTTTGCCATGCCACAGCAGTGCACAATGAAATACTGTCTATATTTTACCAGCAATTTTAACTGAGGACCCAACTGCAAGAATTTTACCCAAATTATATCGTAAATTGCAGTAGACAAATTTCAGAGAATTTGGAGGGGTGAGAGAGATTAGAGGGATTTCTTTTAGCACACCATCTTGTCTGGGCTATCTGTGGTATGTGTCCATGTTTCCCCAACATGGAGTAAGAGATGTTGGTAAGCACGATCACACGTGAGGTTATGTAAAGACAAAGTCAAAGTCAACCCTCATGCCTCATACAATGGTAAGGACTTGGACTTGGGAAGAGAAAAGAAATAATGAACCGAGCAACTAACAACAATGTTGTGCACAATGCAGGACAACATGTAACAAACGTATACTCCATACCTCAAACATACCCATAGCCAGATGCTCCTTTCAAACTCCACATATTTATACAACAGGACTATTCGCCTGCACTGTTTGTGTGACATTCCACAGAAACTACAACATGGAGGTCAAGCCTTTTGAAATGGATTACTTACTCTTCTGTTCACCACAAAAATGCAATTTTGACCTCCTAATTATGTTGAGTGTATCCTGGTGTTTTAATAATTTCATTTTCCAAGTAAATTTCATTCAAGATTATATAACTGTTGAGTATTTCTTAAATCACATTAATGAAATGGAACAATTAGAAGTTTCTCCTTTACAGACCTCCTTATTGTCACCTTAATAACAGTGTTTCAGATTGTCTTAGACTTAATTACTAACTATCCAAGGAACAGCATGTACGAAGTCACTCCAAATGGCCATTCTTCAGCCTAAGTCATCAATCAACACGACTTTTCATTCAAATTGAAACAGCAGAATATCGTGAAAACCATTCAAAACAACCACAGACAATACGTTGTAAGTCGAATAAACAAGTTAGCTCGACCACAAATTATCTTCAAAGAAACACCTTCGAAAGTATCATTAAGACCCGCCCTACTTTTTTTTAATGAGTTTGTTATTGCCACTATTACATGTACATTTCATGCCAACATGGCTTCCCCAATAACTGCCAAACCCGACAACCAAAATCCCACCAGCCATTCAAAATGGCTGAAGGAAACAAACCCAGCAGTAGCCTGTGTTACGGGATAGCTGACATGTATACCTCTCACCGTACATTCACTTCAAGTACGGACAGGAAAGCACGACTTTCAACCTAGCCACCGACGAGCGATTCAAATTACTGGGTAAACAAATCAGGGTGCTGCCCAGCATGGCAGCACCTGAAAGCAAATCCCTACAGCTACACCGTATGCTGTCACGTTTATACACAGCTAAGTGTAAGTCGTTATTCAACACATTACCTGCAATGTCTGCTACGCAGGAGGTTGTAGTAACTGTTACATCCACAGTCTGTGTGTGAGGATGAGGAGTTAGTCAGGATGCAGGTTTTGGAGTTCTGGGCATCGTAACGCCGCTTCCCTCTCGTCATGCAGGACAGCAGGGCTATCAAATGTTGCTAGGGACTGGCGTTGTTATGCAAATGAGGGGGCAAGTCACAGGGGGTCACCCAGGGGTTGGGTTGGTCCACTTTTACAAAAGAGGGGCGGGCAATGATATCATTACAGACGGAAAATTTAAAGAAATTTTGATTCAAAACTTGTAATTTTTAGTTTCCTCCAGTGTAAAACTGGTACTCAAAAGTTCTACACCTGCTAAAAGAGGAGGAATATGCAGGGACAGTTCATTAAACCACCTGTTACAGACCCCCTCGCCTTGTCTAGTGGTTGGTCCCCAAAGGTAGTTGAGCCCATATCAACCTGTAAGATCAAACCATTGTGTGGCAGCGACAACCGAGGGACAAACACTCTACATTTGTGATTTACCACTACAGTCTGCACGAGTCTTGTGCTGTTCTGAAGAAAAGAAAAGGATGTGGTCTAATCCTTGAGCTAACCTAAATCCTTTCTTCAGTTCTAAAGTCTCCAGCTTGGATAAGCAGACAACTTAAAGATGTTATCATGTAAATCCACAGATAAGCATGAAATTGGGGTGATTTGAAATTCAAAGAATGATGTTTTTTCTTACATGATTTTACAAACAAAGCTGTTTTTCTCAAGTTCTTTTGCTTTGTTGCACTTTTTTATGACTCCGAGAGGTAAATGTAATTATTATACTGTGGCAATATTCGTCTGTTACTTTTGCTATGATGTGTGCCTCATTGTGA